CGCGTCCGTCAGCAGATAGGACGCCTTTGTTGGTTGCACCGGAGGATCCAGAGGGTACCATTTCCAGCGCTCCATCGACGAATCCCACGTCTTCGCCTACCCAAGCTCTCTTGTATGATCCACCGTCGGAAAGCGATTGCGTGGCCATGAAAAATGGCCAACCAGTGGCCAATCAGGACGAATTGACAGCATTTACTTTTGAAATCACCATAGGTGTGGCATACTCAGTCAATGTCGACTTCGAGAATGTTTACTTGCCCGGTTTGTCACGGGCTATCCAAGCGTTTTTAGGGCCGATCCTTGCCCAATGCCCCACGGCGACAAGACAACTTCAAGGCAACGACGATGCTTCCACTAAATATGTGGTGGGCAATGCATTGGTGGAAACAAATCTTGTGGAGGACAGTACTTGTGAGGAGGATGATGGAACCTCCGATTGCTATCGTATTTCTGTTGAGGTCGACGTTTTTTTCAAAGGTATGATCCCAAATGCAACACCCAGCATCACTGGCTTCATCTCGGAAGCCTTTCAAACTTCTGAAGCCCCGTTGGTAGAAACTCTGCAGCTGCCAGATCCGTATGTATTTGTTGAAATCGACTCATTGTCTTCCCGGCAACAGACGATGTTTCCATCCGTAGGGCCTAGCTCAAACCCCAGCCAGGCACCATCCAAACGATCTACTCCAAGCCCCACCAAAGTGGCCTCTTCCAACCCGACAAGAGCACCTGTCACTACACCTACAACTGAAGAACCCACGGAAAATCCATCAGTGGCGCCCATTTCGGGACCGACATTGGCTCCCACACCCGGCCCCACACCCGGCCCCACACCTGGCCCCACGCCTCTTCCTACTCTTGGCCCCACTCCCTTGCCAGAAACGATGGAACCAACCATGATGGATTCCCAGTCTCCCACGCAAGTCGCCAGCAATGGCCCTTCCGTCCAACCATCGAGCGATCCATCAAATCTACCCACCTCCAGTCCTTCGAGTAGTCCGACACCACTGCTCACCGCCTCTCCAACTAGTGGTCCAACCTTGGGCCCTACCGCTTGGACCATTCCAATTACGTTTGCGCCCCAAACCACCTACAACAAAAAAGGTGGCGACGGTCGAGAAGACTCCTGCTTCTACAGCTCTGGTTGTCACTCGCAATCTTGTCCCAGCTTAGATCCGGCACTCATCACAGACTTTACGTATTACACGAATTCGCGAGCTGTGCCAATTGAGGGGTTTGATATTGATACCAACCCAGTGTGGTACCTGGAGCAAATGCTCAGTGGGTCAGATTGTGCCAGCAACAGCGCTTCGACAGCATGCTTCGATGATCCCTTCAAGGGCGGTTTGCCGTGGATCTGACTGAGAGTAACTTTGTCTTTCAGAAGGATTCACGAATTCGTTCGGGCGGCTTCACAAATAGATTCAGAGTTGCTGTGGACGGTACTGTTGTCTTGCAAGAGACGCTGAGCAACATTCATAACAGAACATTGGGGAGGGATGGCGGTAAGGTGATGATTGTCAATGCAGGCGGATTTTGTGGCTGGGTAAATGGGTATATCAGATTGACACTTGAGTAGCGAGTGAAAAATGCGTATTTAGCTCTTTCTGAAAAAAAAGGTTGTTTATGTTATTGAACAGGTGAAGGCTGTTGCAGAGGCAGTAGTAAATGGTGCGCTCCAATCATACGCAGCCGTCAACTTGCTTACTTAGTGACAAGAGGTTAGTAGTATGGGTCGTTCAAAATCTTCTTCATCACACTCAATGAAGGGACGTAGGGAACAGGGTTACCAAACTGTGCATGCTTAAAATTGTTGTAGACGTACTATTTCAGTGATGAGAAGGTTGAAGTGCGGTTTCCGGGGGATATGAGATTTTGACTCATCTCCCGATAGTGTCGTACCGGTACCGTGTACGTGTACCGGTACGTGTACCGGTATGCATTTTATGCAAGATGAATTTTTGAGAATAATATATATGGTCAGAAACAGTGAGAAAGAGATGACACATGACACATAACCAGAAGATGCCAAAATGACCAGAAGACTTTGTTTTATAAGTATTTTTTATATACATATTATAAAATGGGTTCAAAGACGCACGCCACTAACTGAAAGATGAACGACTGACTGACTCACTCAATCACTCTTCCTATATCACGCATATTTTTTATATATAAAAAATGAAAAACTTGATACGAACTCGAGAATTTTTCTTCGGGCAACATCACATTTCTTCAGCTCCTGCTATCACACATGCAGGATGAAATTAGAGGATCGTAACGAGCGAGTTAGTCAACAACGATCTACAAAAGGAAAAGAGAGCAAAAAGTTGAAAGAAGCATCACCTCCTAGAGCTACTGGTGGATCGAAATCTCGTCAGCGCAATGCGGAACAACGAGAAGCAAAACAAAGAGCTTCTAGAGGCAGTGGAAGAAGAAGCACCCGGCCTGGTGCGGAATCCAGTGAACGGTCAAGCGACAAACCAAGATCAAAACGTAATGACGAACATCGTCCAGCCAAAGATCGAGCAAAGGGCAGCAATCGAAGATCGGATGCACTTAGTACTGCCTCTTATTCGATTGCACCTCAGGTGGGCGCCTTTAGTGAAGCTTCATCCAAGGATCGCAGCAAGACGAAAGGACGTCATAACACCAAGGGCGATCGTAAGCGAAGATCCGATGCCCCTGCGTCTCCTTTTGTGGTAGGTGCCATTGGCGACATTTCTCCCAAGGATCGCAGCAAGACAAAAGCACGTCCTAGCACCAAGGGCGATCGTAATCGAAGATCAGATGCCCCTGCGTCTCCTCTTGCATCTCAGGTCGTGGTGGGTGCCATTGGCGACACTTCTCCTAGGGATCGCAGCAAGACCAAAGGACGTCATAGCATCAAGGGTGATCGTGATGCCAAGAATCGAGCTAGACGTTCAAAAGACTATGCTACAGCAAGCCCAGGCGTAGATAGTTTGACTTCTTCACCGCAAAGTCCCCGTTCCAAGGCGGACAGAGCATCCAAGAAATCTCGGCAATATGATGAAAGTGAGAAAAATGCCAAGCGCATATCCAAGAACAAAGATTTTGGGACTAAAGAAGAAGAAGTGGATCTACAAGCACCTGTCGCGCAAGGCATCGCTGTGGATGAAGAAGCGGAAGAGAACGAGCGATTCCTGAAACAAGAAGAAGCCAACCGAAGGATGCAAATTCAGCTCGAGGAAATGACTCGACAACAGCAAATATCTGCTGAGGCACTAGCACAAAAAGAACGAGAGGCCGAGAGGCGAAAGAAGAAACGTCGCAAAATTATATGCGCGATCATTGTTTTCCTCGTTCTGGCTGGAGGAGTCGTGGCATACTTCCTGACGCGTCCGTCAGCAGATAGGACGCCTTTGTTGGTTGCACCGGAGGATCCAGAGGGTACCATTTCCAGCGCTCCATCGACGAATCCCACGTCTTCGCCTACCCAAGCTCTCTTGTATGATCCACCGTCCGAAAGAGATTGCGTGGCCATGAAAAATGGCCAACCAGTGGCCAATCAGGACGAATTGACAGCATTTACTTTTGAAATCACCATAGGTGTGGCATACTCAGTCAATGTCGACTTCGAGAATGTTTACTTGCCTGATTTGTCCCAGGCTATCCAAGAGTTTTTAGGGCCGATCCTTGCCCAATGCCCCACGGCGACAAGACAGCTACAAGGCAACGACGATGCTTCCACTAAATATGTGGTGGGCAATGCATTGGTGGAAACAAATCTTGTGGAGGACAGAACTTGTGAAGAGGATGATGGAACCTCCGATTGCTATCTTCTGTCAGTCGGGGTCGACGTCTTTTTGAAAGATGTGATCCCCAATCCTGTACTCAGTGTTATTAGCTTTATTTCAGAAGCCTTTCAAACTTCTGAAGTCCCGTTGGTGGAAACTCTGCAGCTGCCAGATCCGTATGTATTTGTTGAAATCGACTCATTGACCTCCCTGGACCCCACTAATGTGCCTAGCACAAGTCCTTCGGAATCACCTACTCATTCCATCAGGCCCACCAAGGGGCAACAGACAATGCTGCCATCCGCAGGGCCTAGCTCAACCCCCACCCAGCCACCAACGATAGGATCTACTCCAAGCCCCACCAACGCAGCGTCCTCCAGTCCGACAAGAGCACCTGTCACTGCACCAACCACGGAAGAACCCACGGAAAATCCATCAGTTACGCCCACTTCGGGACCGACATTGGCTCCCACATTGGCTCCCACACCTGCCCCCACGCCTGACCCCACTCCCTTGCCAGAAACGGAGGAGCCGACCATAATGGATTCCCAATCTCCTACACAAGTCGCCAGCAACGACCCTTCCGCCCAACCATCGAGCGATCCATCAAATCTACCGACCTCTAGTCCTACGAGTGGTCCGACACCATTGCCCACCTCCTCTCCAACTAGTGGTCCAACCTCGGCTCCTACCTCTTGGATCATTCCAATTACGTTTCCTCCTCAGACTACCTATGAGAAACAGGGCGCCCAAGCTAGCGATCACTCCTGCCTCTACGGCTTTGGTTGTCACTCCCAGTCTTGTCCCAGTTTAGATCCGGCACTCGCAACAAAGTTTACGTATTTCACGAACTTGCGAGCTGTGCCAATTGAAGGGTTTGATACTGATACCAATCCAGTGTGGTACCTGGAGCAAACGCTCGATGGGTCAGATTGTGGCAGCAACTCCGGTTCGACAGCATGCTTCAGTGATCCCCTGAAGGGCGGTTTCGCCGTGGATCTGACTGAGAGTAACTTTGTCTTTCAGAAGGATACACGATTTCGTTCCGGCGGCTTCACGACTAGGTATAGAGTCGCTGTGGATGATACTGTTGTCTTGCAAGAGACGCTGAGCAACGCTCATAACAGAACATTGGGAAGCGATGGCGGTAAGGTGATGACTGTCAATGCAGGCGGATTTTGTGGCTTTGTATCTGGATATATCAGATTGACACTTGAGTAGCAAGTGAAAGTTGCGCATTTAGCTCTATTTTAAAATTGGCGGTATATGTGAATGCACAGGTGAAGGCTGCTGCAGAGGCAGTAGTAAATGTTGCGCTCCACTAATACGCAACCATCAACCTGTCCCTTGGTGTGAGGTTAGTATCGGTCGTGCAAAATGTGAAGTCTTCTTCATCACACCAATTGAGATGAAGACTTCAATGAAGGGACGTAGGGAGCAGGGTTGCGAAACTTTGCATGCGTAATTGTTGTAGATATACTATTTCACTGGTGAGAAGGTTCAAGTAGAATCGGATTTTTATATATTCGTCGGCATCTCATTTTGTGATGATTGACTGCGGATATATTATGATGTGATAGTTCACCGCGCCTGTCGGCAGCGCCAAGATTAGATTTGGATCGCGTTTAGAACCTTTCGAAAAAAGGTGCGTAAGTAAAAGCTTCTGTGGCAAGACTAGCCGCCGTCTATTCAGACAAATTTTCGAGCCAGTCTCCCCGGTTCACGAAAATGTATGTTCGTCGTCTGACCAATGAACATCATAATCACACAACAACCTTTGAACGACTATGGACGAGGAAACGCTTGGACCTTCTCCCGACGAAATTATGGCATTAGGTGCCATGGTAGAGCGTACCTTAACTTGCAAATGTCGAGGAGGTCATCATGATGACGACGAAGGGATTGATATTGGCAAATCGCTGGAAGGCTATGCCAGAGGAATGCTCTGGCATAAAACAAATATATCCTGGGATGATGCGACCCTTGAGACCACCTGTCTTACAGACGAACCAGGCCTTGTGGAACTTGACATTACGGCTAGATCTATGTCTATTTTGAGCTCAGGAGACGAAGCCGATGATGCTGATGACAATTTGAGTGAAATTTTAGATACGTTTGTTCCCAACAAAGAAAGCAAAAAGAAGAAGTCTTTCAAGTTTCTCCCCGTAAAAACCAAAAAGAGAATACCGACGCAGGAAGCGTCGTCAATATGTGCAACGATAAAGTCAGTTGAAGGTGACGAAAAAGAATTTGGGTTTGAAGTGGAGTACCACCCAAATATGAGACAATGAGTACAACCCCTGAATGATTGAAGTGAACATAATAACAGAAGGCAGGCAAGCGCTAGCGTTATTAGAGCACTGTTTACAATGGATATTCAACCATTACATCCAATCTTTTTCACTGTTATCCAATTGTCCTAGGAATATTCAGAGCTCATCGCGTTCAAAATCGTAGCCAATTCTTGTATGTTCATCCCACAAGAAGGAAATCACACTGAAAGGTATGACGTCTGCGCCGCCCATCATTCGGCAACTGTTTCGATCCGCGGCAAATAGTTGAATATTCCGTTTCCAAACGGCCAATTCCAACGACGAGGCCATTTCAGCCTTGACATGCGATGAAAAGGTATCCGTCAACTCCTTCCAAGTGTTTTGTCTGGTCTGGAAATACGCACCCCAGGATTTCGATTCCGTCAGTTCGCAAAATGCGGCCTTATATCTTCCTAAGCCCCAACTATTCATTTCATTGATGACTGTCCTTTGTAACACCGGCTTGATCAAGGGACCAACATTCAAAGATCGATTCATCATAATGTAGTGTATCATGGTATTGTTGTTCGAGTCCTTTTGATGGACAACCTCCAATGGATACTTATTGATGAGCATCTCTAAAAGATCCACAGAAAAGATGGCAGATGTGGAAAGAATGTGAAATGGATTCATTCCAAACATGTCCACCAACTCGTCCTGAGGGCAACAGTCGACCGTTTCAATCAGGTCTTCCATTCGAATGTGAGACGAATGGTAACAAGCATCGTGGACTGGCAGATCTGCAAATCGTTCTTGCAAGGAGACCCAATCCGGATCCTCGCCATTCTCACCGCATAACGAGTCGCAGTGCGAAAACACACTGTGCGAACAGTCGTCCAAAGAGGGAGGAATCCGTATATTCACCAACGAGGTGCAAGCGCAAAAGGCATTTCTTCCAATGACCAGATCTCTATTAGCACTGAAAATCTGCACTCCCAACAGATCTGAACAGCCCGAGAATGCTCCTTCGCCTATGGATTCAATAGACTTGGGCAAGGCAACGGCGCTCATTGACACGCAGCATCTAAACGCACGCGTCCCAATGTGCCTCAGACCTTCGGACAAGTAGACATCCACCAGAGAGGTGCAATTCGCAAACATTTCTTGAGAAATGGTGTCGAGAGTCGACGGTAGCGACACGCGTTGTAGCAACCGACAGCTATGAAAGGCACTAGCACCAATGATTCGTAATCCTTCTGGCAGTACCATTTCCAACAGAGAGAAACAGTGTCCGAACGCATTTTCGCTGATTCCTTCCACTGTCAATGGTATCTGAATCTGAGAGAGGGCATGACACCGCAAGAAGGCCCGAAACGCAATGGATATCAATCCTTCATTAAATTGGATATCCGAAAGGGAGGAACAGCTCTCGAATCCAGAAAGTCGTTGGAGCGTGGATGGAAACGATACAGTGGTAATAGAGCCACATTCTGCAAAAGCGTCATTTTGAATTTCCAACAAACCCTCGGATAAATGAACCTCAGCCAAAGAGGTACAGCGATGAAAGGCATAATTCATAATTATGCGGACCGTGGAAGGAACAGAGACCCTTTGCAGTGTTTCACAATCCGCAAAAGCATAGTCATCAATGGATTGGATTCCGCTATTGAAATCGATAGTTCCCAGAGCCGTGCATAGTCGAAACGATGAATAGCTGATCTTTGTCAGCGTGGATGGGAGTGTCATGCTGGTGATTGCAGAGCATCGAGCAAAGGCATTGGTTCCAATATGTCGTAATCCTTCTGAAAGCTCAACAGTCGCAAGCTGAACGCATTCGTTAAAAGTATTGATGCCTATTTTGATGACAGTGTATGGAACGGCAACTCGTAACAACGAGACACATCCAGAAAAAGCCTCATGACCGATCGATCGAAGCCCAATTGGGAGCAGAACTTCTTTCAATTCTATGCGACCTGCAAACGCACGATCCAAGATGACAGTAACTGAATCGAACACGGTGATATGGGTAGTATCTGCTGGAATCATCTGATCGGGTTGGCCATTGTAAATGAAATCTGTGCGCTGTCGTTTGTGGATTGAGACAGTAGAGTCGTACGATGATGTTGATTCATCTGAATGAGTCATACTTCTTGATTATTCTACTCGTGGTCATTGAGCAGCAACTCAATAATCTGTATGTGTGTATGTGGCAGATGGATACGTGTATATCGGATGAAGATCTTTACCTTTCGGAGTATGGATTGCGTTCCGATGATGTCTATTTGTATTCTAAAAAGCATTGATCTTATATATTCTCCTGCGCTGCCAGAAATTTTGGACGCACTGCTTTTGGAGTCGATAAAACTGCTTGCGGCACACGCGTTTCTCCATGATCAACGGTCGTGTTTTTGATCACGTCCATGACAAAATACGCGTGATTTATATATTGAAAGTCGGAATGGTGTTTGTGTGTGTGTAAGTAGCCGGTATTTTTTTGAAATGGACGCGCGCGGGCCAACGATGGCAGCGTTCTACGCGTGTAATTACCTGAAAATCGGAGACGCACCTCTACTTGCTCACAAAACAACAACGACCATAGAGGGATTTTCGATTTTTGCCGGGAACGATATTGGATTGGAATGCATGGAGTGACACACACACACACACACGCACATCAGAAACTCTCCAACAACAAAGTAATTGATTGATTGCTTGATTGCTTGCTTGCACATAATTCATCTTTGTGCATTACAGAAATAAACATTTTTTAAACCACTAGACGTACAATTAAAAAATATGGTCCAAGAGGAATCCCAAACAGGAGTCCCACTGGCACGACGGATAAATACCACAAAAAAAGAAACAGCAACAGCATCAAACACGATGCTACAACAAGTCTTGACCACCTGTGTCAGCGAAGAAAGTTGTGCCGTGAAATGCGCCTTTGATTTTGATTATGAGGATGATGAATTCTATGTCATTGATGAGGATGGTAGCGAGGATGAAGATGGTATTGACAATGACGGAGCCTATTGGAAGATCCCTGGCCAATCTATGCCATACCACCACCACCACCAAGAAGAAGAAGATCAAGAAGAAGCCGAAGAAGATATTGATTGGAACGACTACGACCATGACACGCTTACGACTCGATTCAGTCGTCAAACCTCTGCCACTTTGGAAAGTATATTGGGAGCCACCACTTCCTCCATTTTGTCACCATCTTCCAATTTCATCATTGAAGACTTGCATTTGTTGGAACAGCAAAAGCACCAGCGCCAGAATACCGGCGACAGCGTCAAGAAGCGATTGGCACTTGTTGGAGTTCAACAGTCGCCAGCCGACTCGAAACATCATGTGAATAATGCCAATAATAACGGAAACGAACCATTGCCATTGCACCAAAACCTCAAGTCGACCCGCCGGCCAACTCCCATTTCACCCAATTATAATACTATGGCTCCAAACAAGCATGATGCCATTACTCCCAAACAAAGTGGCGCAACGAAAAACACTGTTAGTATCGGAACCACCAAACGAAGCTCGGCGTGGTCCTCCTTGTCGCCCAAATTCTTTTCTTCTTCCAGCAGTACACGATCCCCTCCAGTTTTGCCATCGATTATCGAAGACCACCATCACCATGAGAAAAACAATAATGATTGCGATGGCAAGAGCAAAACGAGTACGCACCCATCTTGCTCGACTGCCACTGCCATGGAATCCTTGACTTCCTCGGAAGTCCATTACGACGAATTCAAGGGTGGTTTGGAACTCACACTGTCGGGATCCATTGTGGAACTGGACTATGAGCAAGATGACGATGATGATGATGATGATGGCGATCAGCAGAGTGACATTATTCGCCTCGATTCCATCATTCCCTTGTCGGATTCTCCCTTTTCGTGTCCCACCTCTTGCTTCTTTTCTTCCAGCGACGACAACCTAGTATTTGAACTACAACGCAACAAGCGCAGTCGCATGTGGAAAAGACTTTGCTCCAAGGTGGCTGCCTGGAAGCGAATTGCCTTGTTTCACTTGTTTCCACATCGTCACAGGTACACGAGATTTGAAATTTGAAGAAAATGGTTGGTCGAATGAATGAATGAATCCATCCATCCATCCATCCATCCATCCATCCATCAATCCATCAATCCATCAATCCATCCTATATCATAAAATGTTAAATATTAACATCAACAGTATGTAGTCCTAATGGGATCACGAGGAACCAACATAACCTTTTCAAGTAGAATGAATCAATCAGTGGTTGTTGTCTTTCACGCATGCATGATATATAAAATATTTCGTTGGATGACAGATGCCAATGATGAGCCTAGTTCTGTCCCAATTCAACGGCTCAAAAAATGAAGTGGCGGGCGATTTTGCTCGCGGAGTCTTGCAAAGCAACTTTCACATTCCTAAGCAAACCTGTAAAATTGGCGCCACGCACGTATACTTGGTACTACAGGTAGGTGCTATTCGCAAGCCACTCACTCATTCACACCCTTCCAAGATTTTTCAGTTGTGACGAACGAGAAGGTGATGATAAATTTTTAAAATCTACTACTGGTATACTTTATATAATAGGTACTGTAAAGTATATTGCTCACCTTTCGATCCTGTGAAATTGCAGAACCGTTGTAGATAGATCAGCATAAGCATCAGCATAAGCATCAGCATCAGCATAGCAACATCATCATCATCACCCTGAGCAACATCATAATAACAACATCACCATCATCAGAATATGTCTTCAGGCAACTCCCCGAGACGAAAGAAAAGCAGCAGCAGCAGTAGAAGGCACACTTCTTCTTATGATGATGATCCATTGACAAAGCAACATCAGTCAGGAGACCCATGTGGCAATGGTGGTGGTTTGATTCACCAAATCGGCAAACTGGTGGAATACCTCGACAATTCTTGCACTTCTACCGTCGAAGGCATTCGATTTCCCAGTGATTCCACAACGATTTTGGGAGATATGGATACTGTGGATTTGGAACAATACGAATTGAACACTGTCACTGACACGGTGGGTGAGACGACGATTGGTACCAACGACATTGAACCAGCCTACAGTTATGCCACGGGGGATGATGCCTCGACGGCTGGGTTTTCGACTAGTACCCGAACCAGCTATACGACTGCGACGAAAAGTAGATCGCCGTCCAAAACCACCACCACCACCACCACCAGTCCTGTCAAAAAGGGACCTGTAGCCAGTTTCCACATGGTGGGTCGAATGCATGCCAAAGTACCCCAGACCAACACTTCTTCATCATCACCTCTGAAGGAGAAAGGAACCTTTGATGATTCTTCCATTGTCACGGCTCCCACTGATAGTTTTACAAGCAGCAAAGCCAACGATAGCAGCACTGCTTTGATGGGAAACTTGCAACATACCACCATTGAAGAAGAAAAAGACGAAGTGGCATCTGCCGACGAGCGAAAGGTCGCTGAAGCGGAAGCCTTACGTCAACATCAACAACAGCAACAGCAACAAGCAGCTAGACAAGCGGCAATTCAAAAGGGGCGCCAACAAGAAGCAGCTAGACAAGTGGCAATTCAAAAGGCTGTTCAAGAGGCATCTTCACCAGAGGACGCAGCAATCTTGCAAGGGTTGGATCTATGTCGCAGGATCCGACAAACCCATCATCAATCGTCTACTCCGATCCAATACGAAGGGCAACGAAGCTACGAACAGGAACGTCCGCAGCAGCAGCAACAACAGCAGCAGCAGCAGTTCCGAGGATCATCCTCATCCTCCTCTCTTGACAACCAAATAGTGGCTGCCAATGTCCCAAAGACCAAAATGTACGGCGACCGATTCTCTCCAGTAAACGCTGTCACCCAACACAACAAGTCGTCACCAACCAAATCATCTGCTGCTCTCCCTCCACCACCAGCAGTGCCCAAACACAGGTCCAGATCCGCCAGAGTGTCCCAGAAGCTAAAGGGCATTTTGCCAAAAGGAAGCAAGGCTTCTTTTTAATAAAACAACAAAAAATGGAAGGAAGACAACCTTATATATGTTTCTTTGTACGCGCGCTCGTGGATGTATAGTTATTAGTATAGTCTTATTCTTATGCCCTCATACATATCATGTAATTAGTATAATAGGTACATGATCATCGTCTATTTCATAAAGTTTGTAAAAAGGAACAATCTAGAATACATCAAGTAGCTACAGTCTGGATCGTAGTATTCCTTCTCCGTGTCCTCCCAAAGATTGCTGAATGGCTTGGAGACAACAGTTCGTGATGGGTGGTACCATGGCATCCACACTAACAAAATCATGTTTGTGATTTGGAAAGTAATGAATCGAAATGGGATATGAGAAAGAAGTACCATTGCTGTTGTTATTATTCTTGTTGTTCTTGTTCTTGTTGTTGCTTTCCTCCAGAATCTCGGGTGTATGTTCGTACGGCGCCCATTGGTCATTGGCACAATACAACAGAATCAAAGGACAGTGTCTGGTTATTTGTTTCATACAAGTCCGGTCCATGGCAAATGGAACATCTCGTATTTCTTCCGTTCCCAATTCAAAAAAGTTGCGAGCGTAATGAGGTTGCTGCAACAATAAGTGAGCGGCCAAGTCACGACCCTTTGCATCTTGATAGACTTGGAAATTCTCCAACAGAGCATTGAGGGATTCGGTGGAATACAACTTGGCGAGGACCTTCATGGTACTTCGACCAAACCCAATCAGCAAATTGGGATTGGCAGCACCAAAGTCCAACTTCGCTTGATCGAATTGATTCGGAGCCTTCATTCGAACAAACGGCATCATGTGAATGACACAAGCAGTCCTCTGCAAAATATCAGTGCGTTGCATCAGTAAGCGTTCCACCATGTGACTACCAATCGAGTGCGACAGAAAGATCAATTGAGAATACGAATTGCAGTATTGATCAACAAAGGCTTCCTTGTGACGGATTTGACCATCCACAGTCCAAACGATGGAAGCATCTAGACGTTCTTGATGCTTCTCCACATTCGCATGGTCCGGATGATATGGATTATGACCGGCATAGCTGACCAAACGGGCGCAATACCCTAGACCCAAAGCTTTTATCAATTCCAAAAGAATTGGTTGGTACCAGGCACAACAGCCGGGATTTCCTGGAATAAAGACAAGAGTCGTGTGGGGCGTCGTCGGCATAGTAGTATTAAGATCTGCATTATTAGTTTCACTCTGGCTGACTGTTGAATCATAATCTATAGATATCACATCAGTGGGCCATCCCAAGATGTCCACCACATGTTCTGATACTTTGGGTAGGCGTATCGTTCCTGCCTTCATGGTTGTCATGGGTATATTGAGTTGCAATATAGCAAAATAAGGAATGAATGATGTTTTGTATTAGTTTTATACACGTGAAATTCACCCGAACAGACTGCATTGGGCGGATCTAAAATATCTCCATCTCTTGCATTTTTCCAGAGATGGCTGTGGCTCCGCCCTTCTAAGTGCCATATGACATTATTTGAAGCCCCTTGCGGGTACCCCTTTTTTGCTTTTGCATCATCCTTGCACTATGGACTGGGCATAATGGTAGTCTTTTCTTGCTGGAATTTGTTTGCCTGAAGAGACAATGACGTTTTAGTGTAGCAACTCGATGAGTCGATGTGTCAACCTCGTCAGCACGTAAAACAGTGAAAATGGTGTTTGAAATGTTAATCCCTGCGCGGAGGGACGCGCATGCCTATCTCCGACTGCATCTATCGAGCATTCCGTAGCACCCATAATGTAGAACATGGCTTTGAGCACTACTTCAATCGTTCTACATAATTATCCCTTGACAAGAATGGTGTAGGTGATTCCCTCCAACTCGGGAGTGTCGACACTACCACTCGACGCCATCCACCCTCCCCCTGACGGATAGCAAAACCTCAGGACTGCCAAGGAGGCCGATATCCAGCTCCTAAACCCGAGGACACACCCACACCATCAGCTTGTCATTGTATTTTTTTGGCTTCTCGACTCCAAAAGTCGTCCACCGAAGCCCCCTAATATTACAGAAGTGCCTGTTCTATTATGGTTTATGGCTCATGTTTCCTTTTCCAAAGGTTGTTCATGAGCAAGTCTACACGTATGATGGTTTCAATTTTTGCAAGCAAAGGATCGACCCAATCTATACCACCGGTTCTGACGCAAACTAACAGAAATTCGACCACCAGCATTGGGCGCCGTCTCACCTTCTACACTGTCAATGATGCTCCGTATCTGGTCCTTTACATCGGAAAAGAAAGTCTGGTCCTATTGGTCGGCTTGCTCATGTCACATTAGGACATGGCTCGGTCTGCTTATGTCACATGGCCATGTGATTTTATCGCAGCCATTCGACTGGAACCTTTTCATATTTATTTTTGCCTCTGTGCTAATGTCACCTTAGGCGGGAAGTTATCGAACCAAAAATGATGCATGCAGCGTGAATTTTTCCACGCTGGACACTTACTTCCGGGTACCCCCCTTGAGCTGCATCCATTTTGGCTCAAGCTGGACGATTGTCCATGCACGGTGCATTTTGAAATCGAACGATTTTGATTGGCCAATTCTCAATAATGGTTTCGAAGACCTCAACTCACAATTCACATCAAAATAAGAAAAGACTTCATAGCACTTGATCTTCTGCTCTTTTCACTAGTTTATCATGACTAATGCCGTGTCAATTTTCGCACTAGACTCTGATAGCGAGGAAGATGATAACCTTCATTACAACATTGGTTTGAACAAACAGAATTACATCGCGAAAACATTACCACCCGGTGGCCAAAATACTGCCGCCAAATTAGTCGGTAGAAGAGTTTGGGCCAAAGTTGCAGTATCACATTCAAATGGCTTTTGCAGCATCCGAAACTGCAAATATGATTCTCTCAATCCGAATCATGCTTGCATTCAATGTAAATGCGGAGTCCACAACTTGTGTGTACAGGAAAATATGTTGATGTCAATTAGCAAGGAAGACGGTCATTGGTACTGTTCCAAGGAATGCGGCGGAAGCGACGTTCTGGCAACACACGATGTGGGAGTTCAACAAGTAGCAACACCAACACCAACACCAACACCAACTACAACTACAACAGCAGCTACAGCAACTACAACAACAACTACAACACCAAGAAGTACTGACGGAGCTAAAATTCAAGAAGAGAATTTACTAGCAGCCGAATTCGAAGACTGTGTAGTTGATCCTGTTGCAAGGAACCAATATACGAAGAAAAAGACCGACCTTACCAGACTTCGGTCCATTGCAGGATATACAGTGAGAGATACTTCTGTTGACCTACTGCGGAGATTTGTATGCAGAAAGCTGACTGCTAAAGGCACTGGTCGAATGGGGAAAGGAGCTCTTTGTGACTTGATTGCTACCAAAATAGAAGATTATCAAATTGCAAAAGCAAATGGAACTCTGGACACTCGAACGAAGGTGAGTTGTAATATGTACGGAATAGACTGAAACGGCAAGATGTGTGCATCTACTCATACTATACTGCTATTTATCAGTTACAGAAAAAGACGGCCGCAATCAAAATCGTGAAAAAGTGGTGTGCCAAACGGCTTGTCAATGTAATCGTGTCAAACAAAATGCGCAACCAACTTCACCTTCGAAACGAATCTATTACAAGAGAAGAGATGAATAATAATATGAAGTCTGGGCAATTTTTCTATGAACAGGTTGTGGAGATATACAACGATCCGACCCAATGCACTGAGCCCATTAGCCCAGAGATCGACGATTCTCCACTGGATGAAATACAAGGCACATTCCATTGGACGGAAGCAAAAGCGAAGTTCAATTCAATTGTCAAACTGTACGAGTCAGCGCGAAGGGTTTGGAAGACAAGTGGCAACCACGGAGATTTTGCTGAATACACCACTGCGGATTACCTCTTGCATCTGCATGCAGCCGTCGAGAAATATCCCGGCTGCTTGAGTCAACTTTGCAGTAAGTGGTTGAACACTTTCTTGTTATTCCTTTTTTGAAATCGAACCTTCTTCTGTCTGTTCCTTTCATAGGTAAACTCCCAGAAGAACACTTCAATGAATCAACAAATGGCTCCAAAGCAATGCCTCCGCGATACCAATCTGGTAACACAACAAGAGAGAGAAAGCGGAGCTCGGACCCTATCGAATTCAGACATTCGCCGGAAGTTGTTGAGCTAAGCAAGAAGAAGATGAAATTACTGGAGGAACAGTTTGAAAGGCAAAAAGAAAAAGCCGCGGCAAGGAAGAAAGAGAAGGAGGAGAAGAAGAAGGAAAAGGAAGAGAAGAAGAAGGAAAGGAAGGAGAAGGAGGAGAGGAAGAAGCAGAAAGAGAGAACTGAAGTCTTGTCAAAGAAGTTAGCTTTCAAGAGGGAAATTGTTGCCGATCCAACTTATCCGACAATTTCAAGTGTGGATACGTTCAATGCAAAAGTCGGGAAGAAGAAGGCGTTTGAAACTTTCGAGTCAAAGAAGAATGACGATCCTAACCATATGGATGAAAGGTTTCCTGATGGGGAATACTCTGAGTCTCAAGAAACAGTTGTCGACATGTACATGTCCATGGACAAACTTGCCAGATCACTTGCCTAGAAGCCAAACTAGTATATAGTCTAGCTAGTAGTATATGCTACAACAATCTTAGTCACCATTTAGTTGTATCATTTCAATTATTATTATTATTACTGTTGATTAGTTGTTTCTCTCTCTGTTACGATCGGGGCGGACAAGACGCAATTCTTCAACTAATTCCAAAATCGATTGGCGCTTGCTTGCAGTCTCAAAGTCCACTGACATTTCGTCTGTTGATTCTTCATCTGATTGGTTAGATTCACTGGATTCGTTTTGAGAGTCACTGGATTCATTTTGAGAAACGTGAGTATCCTTCATTCGAGGTCGCAACCTGGCAGGTCGCTCACTGGGAAGGTACCCAAGGTTGTCTCCAATGAATTTGTCGTAACCTTCCAATCGATCGATCGCAGCAATGGTTCTGAGTTGTGCCATACTTTCAGTTCCTTGTAGTTGTATTTTTTCGATTTCTTGCTGGTCAATAACAAAATTGTGAAGTCGCGAAGCAACTTGGATAATCTTTATGTTTTTATCCATCTTGAAAGAAAGCTTAGTCCGAAAGATGCGCCACTTTGTTGATAAGCGACCAAAGGACATTTCGATTCGGATACGGAGTTGTGACAGGTAGAAGTTGAAAGTTCTCTTCAATTCTTCATACCTCTCTGCACCGCTAAAGGGTATAACAAGACTGTCAGAAAGTTGGTAAGCGTTGTCGCCTCCAACAAAAGCTTCATTCGGTAAATTGTTGATCCATTCTACCAGATTTTCACAACGGGCGACTGCTCTGGCATCGCCTGTTGATCCCGGAGCAGCGACAGTGAAGTAAATGTAACGTAATATTGAGTAAGGAATCCTGGGAGCAGACAGAGATATCCATTTCGTCACTTGAAGAGCTTGAGGAATCATCTGAGGAGCTTGAGGAGCTTTTTGAAGACTCCGATGACATGGATGATTTCGAGCTTGAGGAGGGACTTGAGGAGCTTGATGAATCCGATGACATTGATGAGTCTGAGCTTGAGGGATCGGGTGACATGATGAGCGGCAGATACGACGCTCAGCTATCAGAATTCGTCGTTGGCTATGATGCCATGCAATTCAACATAACTGTACTTACCATGCCAAAATAAAATTATAGTACGAAAGTAATTGATGTACGACCAATAGGACTACCATATGGATGAGGTGCATGCATGCACGATTTTTCCGGTTTCGCGCTATCGACTTTAAACACGCGTGCAGGGTGCAGCAAAAAAAATGAAATGCACTGCACGCTGCACGCTGGACGCGAAACGTGGTTCGATAACTTCCCGCCTTAGCCGTGCGAAAAAATCACCTACTATTTGTCATTTTGGGACAGGGTCTAGCCACCATCAACCATGCACTGAATGTCTCAATACCACCTTCACCCTGTCATTTTTGCATTGCCAGCATCATCTATTGTCACATGCCCAAAGTGTTAATGTGATCACTGCAACAATTGAAATATCACTATGAATATATATTAATATCAACTAAATAATACTTGTTCTATCTATTGCTCAGGAATCTATTTGCCATCATCCTCATATATTGTTACAATTTGTTGCCTTGCCTTCTTGTGCTTTTGTCCAGAGCGTTTGTGGTTCAGTTAGTGGTGTCACTGCTGGGCCATACTTTGGCCAGTGCCTTCCATCTGTCCACATAGTTCTCCACCATCAAAAGTGCAAATGCTTCATCCGTGACATTGAAAGCATTGCTCAACACAAATTGACATCTTGCAACACCACAATATTTAATGACAAAAGAAGGAGGTGAGATCAAGGCTTTTGTCACACAACAGTAGCGCCAAAACATGAATACTCACCCTCTTTGTGTTCACGGTCCTCATCACAGCTCACACTTGAATTATTGTCGTACAACTTTTCTTGTCTCCAAGACTCCCCTTCATATGTTGGCAAATAAACAAAGCATACTCAACCCAAATTGGCATCTTTCATCACCATAATATTCAGTGACAAAAGAAGCAGGTGAGATCAAGGCTTTTGTCACACAACAGTAGCACAAAACATGAATACTCACCCTCCTTGTGTTCAAGGTCCTCATCACTGCTCACACTTGAATCATCGGCATATACCTTTTCCTGTCTCTGATACTCCCCTTCATTTGTTGGCAAATAAACAAAGCACGCAGTTGTTTCTCCAATCTTCAACAATGACATTCTGATACCAGTAGTACAAAAAACTCACGGGTTGTTTGGGTGGAGGCTTTGCTAGTGTTGCAGTGTTTGAAGCTGCCGTCTTCTTGGTCTCATTGCCCTTCCCCTTGCTTGGTGCCTTCTTGCTCCTTGTCTTGTTTTCAAATACTCAAGTTTTTTTATTATGTGTGCGCTGTGAAATCTTTGCCCTGGCAAGGCTGGATTCAGTGGAAATGTACTTGGCACTAGTAGTAACTACATGTAGCATTGGGTTGGAGGAGGGTGGAGGAAGGCGTGATTCTACGTATTTTCTGTAGAAATGTACCATAGGGTGGGCTTGAATCCATCCTGGCGCGATTTTTGCCCTGCTATTACTAACAACCTTACTTAACATATTGCTTACTTAACATAATGACTCAAAACTATTATAGACTTGTCCAATCTACGTTATTTCTACTGAGTAGGATCCTGGTAGATTTGCAGGGAGCTACACTAACAAACTTGTAAGTCTTAATGGGATCCTGATTGAGAGACATGTCTCAACGAACGAATCCCAATTTTGTGGCTTAAATGCACAATGTCTGCCATATGTAATATCACGATTACCACAACCAGCAAAGAAAAATTGGCAAAGGCGCCACCTGCAGGAAAAAGGATGTATGAAAATGCAAAATCTCCTGTTTTTGTTGATGTCATGCAATCATCAAATGGCATCATAGTACCGTGAGAATTTGCTCTTTGATGAGCTTACCTCATTTTGCCAATTGTACTCTATTCAGTTGCATCGCTGTCAAATTCTTCACCAGTGATGTCATCTGCTTGCAGTTTTGTTGTTTGTGGTTCTGTCCTGGGCTCATCGGAGAAACGTTTTGATCACTTCTGACCATGTAGAATTCTACGTGCAGGATCGTGGTACATTTGGACAGAGCGTCTAGGCTTCAGGTGCAAATATATGGCAGATCCTAAAATCCCAATCCGGAGAAACTTTTTGATAGGAAGTCCAGATGTATGGCAAATCCCGAATCTCAATCCACACAGCCAAAATAAATACAGAAACAACACAAACATGACAATCAACTACAGTTTGCGCAACAATGGACTGGCGCAACAACCAACTGTTCCCATCGCACCAACTGGCAATATGGAAGCCAAACAAAAACAAAAGGTGCACAACGAAATTTTTCTATGGCGATGACAATTGTAACAAAAACTATGTGTTGGTCTAAGGATGACTTTGTTCATCAGAAGTTCATAGACACCGTCTAGGGCGCACATGCATCATCAACTTTGCGTATGAAGACGAACCTAGATGCAGGAAGACGGTCCTTGATGGCGTTGTCGGGTGCCGAATTCGAACTCAAGCCCTATCACCAGAATCTGTTGCTCTTGGGAAACTGGCGTTGGTGGACCCAGAAAGCCGCAACAAAAAAACAACAATACACCAATCTCTTCTCTGCATATATTTTGGGCAAGTGCGTTGTTAGCGGAAGAAGAATTCGACCTTTGGCATATAAATGTTGACCAATATAATGAGTTGGTTTGGTAATATTAGGAGTTTGCTCCGTTTTGGCGGGTCCTCCTGGCATCATGGAGACAGAAGCCAAGCAACAATCTGCCAGTTCCTTTTACTTCCTGTAATGGACAAAGAATTACTGGACCTATTGATAGATTCGGCCTATATAGATCAAGGTACCAAAGCAAATGGGAAGTTTGAATAAGATGTAAGTTTGTTGCCCCAAAGCATGATCTAGGGTGATCTGGCCAAATTGTTGACCCAATTGCTTTGAATTGCTTTATTCAAACTAATATTTGTTGTTCATTGATGTACCTGGCAAGGTTGATATGTTGGTATAGGTATCTTGAGGTAATACTGTTTTGGCCGCACACACTTGGCAAACATTCCGGATGTAGCCAAGAATCTCTTCGAGTCCACCTCAAGTGATTTCGGTTCTTGGAGCATTTCCACCTAGAATTCTCCTGTTCCAGCCAAACCAGCATTCTTAGACACCAATATTGGTGACAAATATAATATATACTAAAGAAATTGAATGAAGTTGTAACAATAGGTGGGCTATTTCAGAATTTTCATCAAACTTGAAGCTTTTCAGAGCTGCCACCTAATTTCTGAATCTAGATCTAGATCTAAATAGAATTTATGGGCAACTCGTGTACAGCTTCATCCAACAGGATCCAAAGAAGTGGTTGGTGTGTTGTTAAGTGGGTGTTTGCTGTCATGGCGGCCACTAGAGCTGATTGAAGAAAGCTAGAAAATCTATGGCAACCACAATGAAAATCCAAAAACCTTCGCATCAAAGGCAAATTAGGCGATCCTCCAGCCTGAATTGGTTGAACAATAGACAGGAGCTCGATCTTCTTTGCATGCAGGACCCTAAGGGGACCTGAAAGCTCGGAGGGGAAGAAAACGGGACGGTTTGACCAACAGAGGTTGATTGTGGCATGATTGAGTCGAGGCCTCATTCAGACTTTGATCACAACTCTGGCAGCATTTTGATAAAATAGACAACAAGGCTTGCTGCAGCAAACTATTCAACATTCTGCTCTTATGGGGTCCATGCCATGAAACTCTTCTGTTGTGACAATAGTGCAACTTGATGGGCTTGGTAAAAAGTTGTTGGGTGGGACGGACTTTGATAGCAGGTACCGACAGGCAAATTGTTGCTTTGTTTTTACTTGCTGGTGAATTGTTGCTAGCAGTTAGGTAGATGGGGATGTTTGTTGATTGAACTCTGCTTTGGACAACGGTGAATCCTTTGAAAAGTTTGCTTGACCGGGTGATAGATGGATAAAATAAGTGTTCGTTGGAAGACTGTTTGATGGCTTTAGAGTCATGTCTGAGATAATTGGGGAATAGTCAAGCTCAAGAGACACGCTGTCGTTATCTTCCATGGATACATCACTGAGTACCTCTTCCTCTCCTCCCTCTGGGAAATCATTGTGGTCACCCGGCTGAGAATCCAAAAACAGTCGCAAGAGAGGTGGAAATGTCTATATCTGGCCAATCTACCAAGCCCTGAGCCTGGTAAATATTCTGTTGATAAGAAGGGTTCTCTGAAAGTAGGACATGGTTAAGCTGAATGTCAGAGGTCGCAAGTGACAAACAAAGTGACAAATCACAGAATGCTTCATAATCACATGGGCTCTCTGAAAATATCGCCTTCATCAATTCTAGGGGAGGCGACCCAAGCCCCAAAAAGACACGCCCTGCTGATTTTGGGGCATGGTCCCTTAAATATCAACTGACTTTCTTTTCCGATGATTGAAAAGAAGGAAAGAGAGAAAAAAATTATGCTATCCTAGATTCTTTTTTCCGCCATAGCCCTCCAAACCACCGCTCAAATTCGATTACTATATATATTTTGACCAACTTTGAACTTGGTGCCATCGTGTCAGGGTATCGACTCGGCTACTGAGAAGGATTCCAGCCACATTCTTTCATGAACCTGGAATGATCCCCAAAGCAGTGTGAATGCTATTCAAACACTTTTACCTAGAAAATGTCCACTCCAAAGCCACCAATCTTCTCATACATACCCATGGACGACAAATATGTGTTAGAACAAGGCATTTTTAGGAAATTCGGCCCACACCACCACCAAGTGGCTTTTTGGACCAGATTTCCATGATTTCTGACCCCGTTTGGGCGGCATGATTCTTAATCTAGGCGGAACCATTGCCTGGGTCCCAGAAAATTTGAACAATAGGCATCCAAGGGAGGCTCTGGTGTATTGTTGAATGGTTGGCTGTCTCCAGGGCGGCCACGCCGACCTTCATGCTGAAAGGGGAACAGACAGCACCAAACACTGGAATTCCAATATCTCAACAAGTATTCAAAACAAAACACAACCGAATGGATCCCCGAGTAGGTAGGATCACTGCCGAGCTTTCCAGCACATGTTGAATGTGAGGCATTGACCCTCTTGACTTTCTGCCGACCAGTTTCTGCAACCGAACAGAACCAGCCGAGCGAAGCAGGGTAGATTGTAGTGTAATTGAGGCGATTGCAAGTATGAATCGCCGCTCCAGCCATAGTCTATCTATCAAATACGCCTGCCACAACATGTGCTTCACTTTTTACTTCTCTGGGCGTCCACACTGGCTTGTCCAAACCAGGGGAACAATCGCACCAAGGCACCTTGATGTGCTCCAAATCGTCAATTTTGGTAGTTCGACACTGGGAACGAGTCTCCGTGTAGATCTTGTCTTGATGGTGACGGTAGATATGAGTCGCACTCGGCAAATACGTCTTCTTGACACCTATCCGTCCAGTCCAAGCAACCAACAGAACCAATCATGGTGAATTATTGTGTGACTGTGGCCCAGAAAAAGATGTTCAACATAATTACCGCCGCTCCCGACGTAACATATATATCAACTATGCTTGCCACAGCCTCTGATTCCACTTTCTCTACTCATGGGGTCCAGGCCGTGCAAGTTCATTGTGAAGGACGAATTTGCAACTCAATGGTCTGGGTTGAAAATCGTCCTGTAGGAACCCAGATAAAGAATATAAAATGGTATCATTGCCTTTAGTATAATAAGAGAAACAACTTCCGCAGAAAATTCTAGCTCTATGTTGCCTTGGGACTTCGTAGACGTCCCGAAACCTCTCCAAAAGTAGTTTTCGTACCTTGTTGAGGTTCTTTAGCAGTGATTTCAGAGGTGAGAGGGGCAAATACATCCATATCGCTTCATACAAACAAGATGGATACGATCACGATACAGAGAATGTCCGCGACCCACGAGTTTTCCTCCAGAGGGTGATGCTTTCCTCGGCCTCAAGGCTCACCATTGCCGATGGAAGGAAAATTTGATGTGGTTGAAGAATTCTCAACGGGCGAGCGCATAGAAATGCGCACTTATCCAAGTGAGATAGGGGTGTCTTCCCGGGAAGACACACTTTCCGAAACCAAAGTTCAACTAAAAAAGTACTTATCCAGGTCAAACCCCGGAAATGGAGCTGGAATCCCAACCCTTTAAGGATCAAAGTAATGAGCATGAACAGTGGAGCAATCTTGTGAGAAGGTCCTGTACAACTAAATTCTTTTGTTATCAAATTTTTCTCATCAATTTGCGTGACTTAGATGCCAATGGTCCCATTTATAAAGCCTGTTTACAGGATACAAGGAGCAGCGTGCTGATGAAACTCTAGGACTTCAATTTGAGACAACTTTCATATTGAATGCAGATGAAGTTGCTCGTATCCCAGCAGATCAAGTTGTGATCCAAAATAACTGGGCTGATCTAGCAGTATATGGAGTCTAATTGGTACAATACATTCATAGTTCATATTAATACAATTTTAAAGTTACCATTGTGTGGATACAATTACATTTGCCATTACATCCTGAGAAAAGAATGCAGCAGCATCATTCAGACGCGTGTCTTCCCCGGGTACTTGATTAGCTTTAGTGAGAAATGGTCTTCCTGGGAAGATGGTTGTTTTTTATATAGGTGGTATGGGGTACTGGATTAGTTACAATTAGTTTAGGTCTTCCCGGGAAGACAGTCGTCTGGGTGTTCGATGAGGTACTAAATTAGGTGTGGTCAATATTTTGGGAGGGGCGTTGCGGGAAAAATTCCGGTGCACTCGATGACGGAACCAAAACCACGGTGCAACCGGGGTGTATGTAGAAAAGGTACCGTTGCACCAAATTCACTCAAAGAACCAAGTATCACATAATCTTGGTCAAACCATTTTGTGCGGAACAACTTCATAGGACAACACAACAATCCAACTTCGGGGGCTTCGTTGAGGATCTGACAGTTGGCCAGGAGATCCGTTTATATCTTGGCTGGGCACTCAGTGCATACAACTCTCGGCTGAATGAGTTCGCACAGGCCCATTTCCGTTCATTTTCCATGGTTGAAAAGAGTTTCTACTGCGGAGCCACTGCTTCGTGTTTCTCCAATTGGGCATGAGGCTGTTCCACCGGAATCCATCCCTTGCTAGTGTCCGAACTACCACATTGTCGTAGTTCGTCTAACATACAGAGTATGGCAAGGAGGCAGCAGGATGATGCAGGTAGATTCCAATCTTACTGCCATACCTTTGCCGAACTCTCTCTTTGCCGAGCTCTCAACGTACTCACAAATGAAGCGTCGCAAGCCAATCATTGAGATGCTATAGATAACATAGTTGATTAAATAGTTAAGTTTGATTCCAAAATGAAACTAATGCAACCCAGGATGTAGAGAGTGCAGACGCAATGTTCACAAGTCAATCGTGAACCAAAGGATTGATATGTGCGACCCGGTTATCGGTTGGATGGTTCTTCGACTGTAAAATAGGCAACTTGTAAATATTCCAAATCTCATCTAACAGGATTAGTAGTCTTCCCATTCAATGTGATTTGAACAATGTACTTACATCAGAATAACAAGCTCGATACCGTTCTTGTCTTGCTTGTTGCTGTATTGGACCATCATTTGACCGTATTGGTAGAATAGGCAAGTCAGAAATATTCCGAATCTCAATTTTAGCAGCGCAGATGCAATAAGATAAATCCCACTCCGCTCCTGCTTTCAAACAATGTTGATTGTTGCATTCATCGATATCTTTCATGTCTTGTTTGCTGCGGTAGTGAATGCAAACAATGATTTGACCATAGAACAGGCATTTATGCTGTACAGTAGCAAGATCAATCACACTCCGCTCCATCAGCTTTCAAACAATGTGGATTGTTGCATTCTTCTTGCCGAATTCATAACGTTGTTGCTGATTTGTTGGCTCGAGTCGCTTGTTCTTCAAAGACTATCGTATCAAGCAGGTCACGACAAGCAGGTAACGACGAATTTATTGATACCTTCTTGTCTTGTTTGCTGCGGTATTGAATGCAAACGATTTGAGCGACCATTGAAAAGGCAAAGCATTCCGAATCTAGTTTAAGCAGTGCAGTAGCAAGATAATCCCACTCTGCTTTCGCTTTCTAGTGGATTGTTGGATTGCTTCATTCTAATCAATCGGCACCTACTCAGATCGAGAGCGCCGATGCAGATTTGTTGGAACTCATCGCTTCTTCATTGATGCCCCTGATGTATACGCTTTGGTTATTCCAAGCGGATACCTGCCGTCATCGTAGGGGTAGTATGAAAAATACGCCGATTTTCAAATATGCATCACCTATTTTATGGAATACCTGCCATCCAAGTTCAAGTACGTTTTGCGAAGCACACGTCTCCTTTCATTATCTCATTTCCTTTCAATCATATGAACCACCTTCTTTCATGGACGAGCCACCCATCAACCATCTTGTCACTCCATCGGAGATGATGGAGTCCGGCCTTGCCCTGAAGGGCTACAGCGAGAGGCAAATCAATCGTCTTTCCCTCATCCCCGTCATCTTTGATTGTCGTCTTTATCCTCTTCTTCCAGAACGACCATGCTGCGATGTTTGCTTCCTTGATTTGGCTGTTCGGGCTTGATGAATTTCGTCAGGATCTCAGCGATGGCTCCTCTCCCGGGCCGGAGCTTTTTTTTCCTTGCCATATTTCAAAGGTACGATCATCGACAGAGTTTTTGCTGACCATCGACAGAGAATTGAGGCCTTTTGTGCAGACGGAAGGACAGTGGCTTGCTTTTCTCCTTCTGGAAGGAGTGCCATTTTTGACTAAAAAATCATTGATAGCTTTTTTCGGCATGTCCCTGCTGGATATGATATCCATGTACGTTTTGTGCGGAATGCGCGAAAATGATATACTTTTCAGTATGTCTGTCAGACCGATCAACCAGTCCTGGCAGGCCCGTGGCCAGCCGGCAACAATCGGGTCGCTCTAACTGGGTCGATAAAATGCAGGGGAGGAAAGGTTGCCCCTTTTTTAAATAACCACTCCTTCTTGCAGTCGCCAGAAACACAAAATTTGCGGTTATCGCGCCGGTGACAGAACATTGGAGAATACTGCTGTAGAGAGCTGTGCTTCATGTTATTGTGATCATACGCATTGACCTCCATCCCCTGGTTGACGAATGCAGCAACAAAAGCTTGGCAACTGATTCCTGGACGCCGAAAGAATTCCCAATCAGAAGGCGAATAACTCCCTTTCCAGGAAAATTCCCTCATGAGTGCTGCAGAAGAGCAGTTCATTATCGAGGAAGAGTGGCTAGAAGAGGACTTCATTGGCGGCGCAGCCTATGAAGAAGTCGTGGTAGAAGATGTGGAGGTGCCTGAAGTGAAACTAACAAATCCTCTTCAACGTTCATTAAGTAGTGCGGACTTCTCTTTCGACGGTTCAACGATTGTTGAGTTTGATCTTGGATCCTATAATGGGGAGTCGTCGTCTGGGGAAGGGGAACCTGACAATTATGAAGAAGCCTGTCGAAAGTTGATCGAGCTAGTATATCCACAAGGAGGATCCCACGATGTGGATGACATGATTCGGCGATGTGACTTGCGAAACCTTTACAGAAACTTGAAACACCAGCACAAATTTCTCATTCACACCAAGAAAACTTTGGCGGAAAGTGATGGAAAACTGGAAAGGTGGGAATCCTTTGATGACTCAAATGGAGCTTTCAGCGTTGAAGCTGTAGATCAGGCTATCATAGCTTTTGGTGAACCTCCTAATGAAGGTGAAATACAACACAAACAGGGCATAAATGATGAACAGAAATGGCCCTACATTGAAGATTTTGCAAACCCATGGGAGTCAACACAACACGATGAACTGAGTACTGAGAATCCTAGTAAAAATGATGATCCAATCATAGGCTCTGCTGCTGTCGAAGTAACACAAGATCAAGTCATGTTGAAGCCGCAAAGCGAGTCATCTGCTGCTGCTCAATTGATTCCTTGGTTGGAGCGAAATGCTGATGACCCCTATGACTATGATGCGGCTTGCCGTGAATTAATTCCACTTGTTTGCAAGGGTGAAGATGAAAGTGATCCCGACAAAATGCTTCGACGAAGCGATCCAAAAGATTTGTACCGACAATTGAAACATCAGCATTGGTACCTTGTCCATGCTGGGGCTATGTCAGAAATCGCCTTTGATAATCAAATTTCGAACTATGACAAGCGACCATTACTTGATGAAATTTCGGTAATCAAAGAACGGGACGGCAAAATACAAGGGGAAATGCAGGAAAAATCTCAAGACACCGGAGAAAGTGCAGAAAGGAGTCAAGATGTGAATGCAATGGATTTGGAGCCACCTGCTCACATTATAAGGGGATTTCGAAATAGTGTGGAACAGCGCGGTGCCGTACACGGTACGGCTAAGATTCCTGCTGCGACTCTAGGTGAAATACCTGATGCCCGAACAAACAAGCAACAGAACATGACAAGCAATTCGAAAGAGACGGAAGACGAAGAGGAGGTGGAAATAATAAAATGGCTGGATCGATATGTGGACGAACCCGACGATTATGAAGAAGCCAGTCGAAAACTTCTTGCATTGCTATACAGTGAAGACGAAGAATGTGATGCAGAAACCACGATGAGTCGTAGTTCACCAAAGGAATTGTACCGATATTTGAAACAACAGTATTGGTACCGAATGCATATGGGCACACTTTCCGAAAACACAATGGGAAAAGGTTTACAGATGTCGCATACAACATCAGAAGAATCCACGGCGCTACTTGAAAGGAACAAGCTAGTTGCCACCGTCAAAAATCGCATCTCTCTTATTGAATCAACTGGCGTTGGAGAGATGTATCAACATCAGTCGAGCAGTGTTGTATCACCAGGGAAAAGCTCACCTGCTGGGACATTTGCTGTCGCCACTCAAATGGCGATTGAACCACAGGTTGGCCAGCATCCCCAATCATCGGAACTTATTCTCGAAGCTGACGATCCAATTGCGTCTGGAAAGTCTATGCAACAGCTGTCATCTCTCATGATTGAGGACGAAGTTGTAGGTGCTGATGACATGGACTCGTTTGAAGCATCGTCATCTTTGGAGCCACCTCGGGGACATCATTCACAAATCTTAATCGATTACCGAAAAGAACGCTCAGATAGACCCGACAATGCTGAGCACCATGAAACTCAGAATACGCAGAATCAAGGAATTTCCATGCATATTGATCCTACCAGTAGTTCTGTGCATTCTGACAAAAATAGCAGCAGTGACATACAAATGAAAACCACCTTACCCCAGGCTATTTTGGATCAGGTGAATGAAGACGAGATGCCAAAATTGGGCGAACAGCATCAAGTTGGGAGAGAAACGCGGGAAATAGACACAGCGGGTAGCCATGCGGATGTGCAACCTTTCTTACATGGTCCAACTTTATCAGATCGCCCATTGAATCATAGCAACGACGGAACACTTGAAACAGGCTCAGGTTTGGAGAATCCTAGTACAGAACTGAACAGTGATCGCTCTAGATTTCGAAATACAGGGTTGCAAAAGAGTAAGCGCACGGGTTTCACTGATTCAGTGAGGCGTCATAGCAGCAAGAGAGCCAAAAGTGAAGTCGGCGCGCCATCTGGTGGAATTCATAATTCAGGAAAGCCGCTCATTCCAGGAAAGCACGAGCGATTTCAATATTCCAGTGGGCAAACTCGGTCTCCCTTGAACCATCAAGACAAAGAATTCATGAAATTGATCTCGGAGGCAGAGAAAGATTTGAATGACTCTTTCGAGTCTGAAGCTATCGAAGCACTGAAATTTGCTTCATTACAAATTGCAAATTCAAAGAGAGTAGAGGCCGAATTTTCCAGACCCTTTGTTTTCTCAACATTGCTTGCAAAGGGTATAACTGATGGGAGCGTGATTAAAAGTGCTTCGAAGCATTTTAGGGATGGGGTGGACTTCCCTCCAGATTACACATGCGCTCTCAAACGTGCGGCAACCATTATGCTGGATGAAGATGCAGATTCCAGCAAAATTGGGAATAGTGTTGTGAATGTTGAGACAATGGTGGAAGAGCAGAGAAGGATGTGGGAGAATGGCAGTTTCTCATCCAATGGTGGCGAGGAAAATGCAGGAAAGCAGCTTTCTGCACATCATGACCCTGGCACTAGAACGAGGAGAATTAATGCAAATATTGATAATACAAACGCCAACCTCCAAGTTGGCGCAGTACTGGGTAGTAGAGAGTCCAGGGAAGCGACGATAATCACAGGACGCAGTGCAGCTAACAAAGATATTTCTTCATCTTTGTCTTCCCCCAGCTCTCCTGCAAACTTGTTATGGCAAGAAGATATGAATCAAGTGGAGCACACCATTACTTCCAGTACATTTGATCCTGTGGAAATGACCAAGCGACAGCATCGAATTGAAGAAGAGCTTTTTTATATTGTTTCAGATGCAGAGAATATATTAGGGGACCCAATCAGTGAGGAGATACTGGCAGCATTAATACTCGCCGCAACAAAATCAGCGCACCGGAAACGATATGACAACTTTGCCAAGGACACTATCGTCTACCTCCCATCTGTTGCAAAAGCAGTCTTGGACAACGGCCTACTTGATGACGCTGCAAGGCACTTTGGCAATAATATATCGTCACAATGTATAATCGCCTTGAAAGCAGCGTCTGAAAAAGCGGTTGACAGGAGCTTGGACTACAAGTACATAGAAAGTCGTGCAGTGACCTTAAATATCACATTCCCAGATGCAACGATTCAGCGATCCAAGATGTCACAATCCAACCTGCAGTCTAAAGATGATGTTGTGGCACCAAAAACATCGCAAGCTGAGAATGAGCTAACCTCTGTAACGGATGAATGCAATGGTGCCAATGCTGATGTGTCAAACTTATTTAATGACAGAACACACAACAATGAGGATGAGGAAGGATTGGGTTCTACTGATCTGATGGAGCTCGAGGAGAAGGCCGAGCTTCAACTTGCACACTACAGGGACACAAAAGAATGCCTTTTGAAAGAATATGCTGAAAGAGAGCAAGAAATGAGCATTGATAAGGAGCGCATTGCACAAGAGCTTGATAGTCTAGCAGGTTCCCATGGACTAGAGCAGTCAAGAGGTGATTGGAATGAGGCGTCGCCCAACAAGGCTGCATTGGCAAGAGAACTGAGGCAGTTAAGGGAAACTCTACTAGCATCTGAGAAAGAAAGAATTGAAAAAGAAAGGAATCATCCCAGTTCAGCCATTGGTGGAGACAAGAACACTGGCCTTTTTGGAATGTTTGGCGTTCAGAGAAGAGCAATGGATCTCGAAAAAGAAAAAGAACAACAGGCAAAACTGATGCAGCAACAGATTCGGGAAATGGAACTAGAACATCATCTGACGCAGATTGAAAGGGAGATAGCAACTGTCCAACAAAAGTATGACAATTTGCGGGACAAAGAATCGGCAAAAACGGTTGAGATTGCAGATTCTTCTCTGTCTAGCAATCAACATCTATATACTAAACGGGGAAGTCTACTGCAAAAGTCTCCCAAGCTTGAAGAAACTTTTCTTGAAGCAAAGAAGAGGCTCAATGCATTAGAAAACAGTAGACGAGACGACAAATCGTGGTATTGGACAGAAGAAAGAGCAACAATGGCCAAGTCTGAGGGTTGGAACAACGGGTTGAACCAACAATGGACCCGATCAACAGATCTGAAGTCGTTGGCATTGGTGGACATCTCTGAGTCGCCGGTCTCACCTGGGCCTGACAAGCTATTCATTGCCGCTGCAATGGAAGAAATGGAGGCCATAGCAGAGCAGCAAGGAAGTGAGCCATCATTAAAAATTCAGCAAAACAAAACAGATGACCGTGAAGAACACTACCGCCAAGAGTTTATGGAGCTGCTAGAGTGTGATGATAAGGGAGAGAGCGTGGACGAGGACCGACTTTATCACTTACAGCTATATGCTCGTAGAAGAGTGGGGGAAGAGCTGAGTACAAGCGAGCGCTTCAATTTAGAAGAATTTGAACGAAAAGAAGCAAAGCTGGAAAATGAAGAAAGTTCAAATTGCAGTGTAGACCCAGACAGAGAGAGAAAAAACCCTGTTGACTTGCAAAAAGCGCCTTCACTTGGGTGTGGTAGTAGGAATGAGGTCATGAATGAAGGTGAATCGAGCTCTACTAAAGGGGAGGAAGAGAAGAATCACCCCCCTGTATTGCAACAGAAAAAAATGGAAGAATTGCCTTCCATGCAAGGTCATCCTCTAGCTATCGCTCTAAGCCGCAATTGGTCTCCAAAGAACCAAAAGAGCTTGCCAATAGAACAAGCAAACTTGTCCAAAGCCTTTGTTAGAGAATTGGGAGATGAAATGATGGAAAGCCAAGATGTATCAAAGGAGACTGACACACTTGTTTCATCCAAAGCCGTTCTGCCAATTAAGACGGATATCAATGAGAAAAAATCAAGAAAAGAAATCCTTGCAGCAAAACAGGTTGTGGAGTTGAGGAGAGCAAAATGGGGAATTCAAAATGAGAAAAACGCCAATTCAAATGAGAAGAAAAAGTCCAATGATGCAACTTCTCCTTCTGGCAGTGGGGCATCCAGATTGGTTCCTAGCATGAATGACAAAAAAAGGAAAGAGAAAATGGCAGAATCAAAATGGCTTGCTGAGAAAACAGCAAAGACGCGAGAGGCACGTCTTGCAAGAGAGACAGAACTTCAGAAGTGCACTGAGCAAGTTAAGCAAAAAGGCCGTATTCTCTCCGCAAATCTTGAGAAGCAGTGTTCTGCTGAAGAGCACAATGCTTTATCTTCTCTCAACATTAAGAAGGGTACATATGTTTTGAGCAATGGCAGTATACACCAAGAGCTATCACAACACCCGCTTCTTGTGCATCTGGTCAAGGAGGTGGGACGATTATCCAGCTTTATCTCCAGGTATGAGAAGAAGCTTGAAACAACCTGCAAATCAATTCTTTCTGTTGCCCAGAGAACTAGCCAAGAAGTAGATTTAAAATGTGTCCCAGATCTTGGTTTGCCTGACATGTACAATTATATTGCAGACCAGCCTTGGTTCAAGGAGCTTACAAGTGAAGACTTTTCTTGGCCGGTGAGCATGTCAAAGAGAAGAAACAAAGAAATTGTCACATCCCATTTGCTTGCCTTCAACAACCCAGATGATTATGTTGCTGCTGACAGCTCAAGACCCAATGATCAAGCAAACTCAAGAATGTACGCGCTAAGCAACCTTGGGAAACAATTTATCAAGATTGATGGACCTGGTGCTGGGGATACTCGAAGATTTTTGACTTCTCTTGGCTCTGGTGAGGGCTGGTCAAAGCAACAGATTGTGGAAATATGGTCAGACATTGCGCGTCTATCAGGGGATGATCAGAGTGATCGCATTTCTAAAAACATTGAACACATCATGTCATTTTGTTTGAGTTCTGGATTCATTGGATGAGGATGTGGCCTTTTTTGATTTGTTGAATAAGTCAAAGACATGAAATAACGTAATTGACAACAAAATGACTCAATATCAACGGGCTCAAGTCTTTCTTTAGATACATATCACCTTGTTAGGCTATCAAGCAAGCCAAGCCAATTGAAGTCTTACGCTTGTATGTGCCTCTAGTTTCTTTCTTTATATATAACTGATGCATTAATCGTGTTAAAACTATCTCAAGTTTCTAGATTGCAGTTAACAGCTGTCATGGCCATTTACCATATGGAGGTGAGTCTAGTACTGTTGAACCAGTTTGAGGCATCCAATCCCAAGGAAGGTGCTTGTATTGTTAGAAATAAGCAGACTGTGCTCTATTATGAGTGCCTTTAGCACTCAGAACAAACTCTCTGTTTCTCTAAATTCGCAATCGACTGTACAACATTTCCACAAGAATAGTTCTCCTGTATTAGGTATACTTTGAGTGAAATTGTTCCCGTTTGATTAATTTTCGGCTTGAATTGATGATTCAATCACAAAAGTGAGTTGAAAGGATTTCCTTCTGGGAAATCCCTTGTTTACAGAACTCAATCCGACTTCTACAAGGATTCTCTGTTGACTACAGTGCTTTGGGACATTTGGTAATATTCCTGCATCATGCACAACATTGATATACCACTTGTTTAGGGTCATTTGATTTGTGTGTGGATATTGCTTGTCCGACAGTCTTTTGTCGAATGCTGACAGCACGATCAAAATCGGATCATGCATGTCAAAACTTTGTACTTGAATAGTTTTCAAGGAACATAAAAACTCATATTTTGTCATATCCCAACAAACATGAGATATGGTTTGATCAAGGAGTGCACAATGGAGAAGATTGCAACCTTAACGTAATCTTTTCAAAGCAAGGTCTTCTCTGGATTATCCAGGCCTAGACTGACTCAGGAACAGTTGCTGCTGCAATCCTGTCCACGGTCCTTTCTTCCCTGCCAGAAGCCCTGGATAACACTCCACATGACCTCTGTCTCCTGCCTATCTCTCACTGTACTTACAAGCAACAGAACATGTGGATCAGCAATTTGGTTGAGCTACGTAATTGTCTCTCAACCTACTGCAATCTAAGCACCTACCTGGACATGGACTATGGCAATTGCCTGTATGCGGCTGTAAACAGCAAACCTGGTGGTCTTTGCCATGGATGTCACTGCTGAGATGATCCAAGACTATCTCCATACGGGCCTTTGACAACTGCGCCGTGGCACTCGCTGCTATCCACCCCCCTACCATATGGAGAGATGGTGAAGATTGGTTCTCTTTCCTTCATCCCACCCAAGGTCAACTTCACAGGCTATGCCAAGGAGGTGATGTGCCATTTCAACTTCCAATGCTCGATTGGTCTCAAGATGGATTGGGTTGCTACCCCATATACTAGTAGGATTGTTCACCTGGTGTCACCGGTCCCTACATGTACACAAGAAGGGCAATCCATGCCAACTGTGTTGACCGTGAATGCCAATTGTGGCTCAATTCAGCCACCCCAAAACCAGAGTTTCCCTTTTGTGCCCCAACCACCTACATGAGCGACTGGAAGTCCGCTCAACAAGGTCTTCTGAGTGTCAAGGCTTACAGCCCGGTCAAGGATGCTATTCTAACTTTGATCAGCAAACTTTGGGATTACTGTATTTTTGACCATGATTCTCTACCCTACTATTGGCTTCCCTGGCATGTTCAAGTTTGCTCCAACTACCTTGTACGGTTCATGTACTCTGTTCAAGATTCATTTGTTGATTAAGGCTACCCCTGCTCAGGCTGACAAGGCCTCTGCTACAGCCAAGGAAGCACTCAAAGACTCCATTGCTCAGGATGACTGTACTGATGATGAAACGGACGCTGAAGGTGTTGCTATATCTAACTTGGGCTCCTTCTGTTGGAAATTGGTTCTGGCGGACATCAGACTGCTTGTCTTCGTCCAAACCGATTGACAACGTTGTGGCCCATCAAGCCATAATTGCCAACCAGCCGTGCCAGCATGCGACCCATCAAGTCGTCATGCATAGGCACTAACCATAGCAATCTCCAATCCGTCTAATAGGAAATAATCATCTCTACAGGAAATAACTATTCTAAAAGACTTGTTATCTACATGGAATGGGCAAAGCAAAAGCCTTGCACGAAAACTCAAATTTCCCAAACCTTTACTGGATGTTTGCAATCCAGAAAGGCCGGTACAAAACCCACGTACAGAACTCCCGCAGGATTCAGTATGGGATGTTCATGGCGCTCAGACAGTTTGATAGTCCAAGCGCACAATTCCATGTTTTGGGATTCCCTGCAAAACCGACTCATAGGAATCACCCGAATAAACGGACCAAACGGACATTTGTCCGTCTGTCCGATCGGACGTGCCGAACTGCTTCTATCAAGGAGTTTCCAATGAATGGTCTCCAAGAGAGCAATTCCAACACCTTCAAGCCAGTCACAAAGAAAAAAGTGAAGAAAAAGCCCAAGTGTTCTTCTACATCTTCTGAGATCAAGAATCACTTATTGAAGGATCTACCTCCTGCTCAGCGCAAGTTGGCGAAAGCAGCAGACAAAAAACATAAGAAAGACCTTGACCGTCATAAGGCGGGTCCGCTTTTCAGGATGGTCTTACCTGGGGAAATGGAAGGATCCTACATCTTTGTTTGCCGGAAAAAGTATGAACAACTAGCTTGGAACCTTCTGAAGGGTATCATCGCCTTCCTCATACACCACCTACACGCGCCCAGTTTCATATTCACCAAAAAAAAAACCAACATGCATATCCGGGTCCTCAAGACAACACTCCCAAAAGTTTCGCGTGAAGCACGAAGTTTCATGAAAGTTGAAAGGGGTACGTACATTTTCTACTGAGAGAACCCAACTTTCATGAAACTTCTCTTGATGCACCCATGGTTGATGCCAGACCGGCCACCACTACCAGTGCAAAACGTGTTGTTGTTCGTTAGCAATTGTCGTTCGTAAAAACGGCGTAATCACCCCTTCGAAGTTGCCCAGCTTGAAGGACAAGGTTCCATAAAAATCCAAGCAGATCAGCAGGAAGCCTGTTATTTAAGGAGTCTACATGCTGATTGGCTAGTTTCCCCGTTGAGTTCTGGTAGAACGGTCTGTAGATAAAAAATTGCATATTTTTTATTTGGGCGCTCTGAGGCCGCGCCAGAAAACGGCGTAGTCTTTCAATTTCGTTCATCATGTAGCATACGTAGAATAGTACCATAAAAAAGACACTGATTTAGCCCATTCTTCTTATCTCCCACCAATAAAACAGAAAGAAACGATGGGGAAGTCGAGCAAGAAGCGTACGCAAGTAGCTCCAGAGGGGTCAGATGTAGAGACCAAGCGGATCAAACGACCGATTGTTGAAGAAATGGCCAGGACACTCATTGATCTCCAAGCTTGAACACACGGGTGGCTCATGTCAACACTCCCAAACGAACCACTGCAGCATCGGACGATTCTGGAACTCCACCAACTCCCCGAACAGCAGGAACTCCCGAATAGCAGGAACTCCCGAATTGGTTGATTGTAATGATACTGCTGACAACATTGGACCCTTAGCGCTCCTCAACATGAATGTTGGCAATAGCGAAATCATGATTGATCTTGTTCAATATATGCGCAAAACTGCTGGCGCCCAAGCGGCTCTGCAAGAGCGCAAGAGAAAGGTTGCTCTACAAGGCAACGCCCATGAAGGGTTCTTGAAAGATTCAAAATTCACTGCTGGGGGCATCTTCAAGAGCGGCCAAGTCCATCTGGGAGAAAATGTGCTGGCAGCTCGCAGAGAGATGGAGGCCAAGAAGATGGAGGGATCGCTGAACCCAATTCGGAAATCCATTGATGCTTTCCACAGTCGCATGCAAAAGTATGAAAAGCTCGAACTCGATCGGCAAAAGCCCTACTCCAAACCAATCACTGTGAATCAACTTGCCATATGGTTCAGCGTTCGGAAGACGAAGGCAGACAAGATCCCAAAGCGGAAGGATCTCCAGATTGCATTGATGGAAGAATGGGCTGGTCGACCGATCCTAACGCTCAAACAATATCTTCTTGATCAAGGCAAAGATGAGATGTATGTAAATATGGTCTTTGCAGAAAGAGCCAGCATCGCAGCAGAAGCAGAAGCTGTTGTAGAGGAAGGATCTGATGGGGATGGATTGTTGGCTGATCGTCGTCTTGATATGACTGCAGTTGCAATTGCAAATGATAGTGAGAATTCCATGATGGTTGAGCTCTGATTTTGAGAATTTGAGACTACGCCGAAAATCTGTTCTTTTTTCACGTAGCTCTAGTACATTTTTGCGTAAAATTGCATTTGTCGTTCGTGGCCAAAAATTGACCAAAACCTATCCAACAAAACCCTTCAGCTGAGCTCGCAATTATAGACCTACCAGCATTCTTAAAATACATCTTCAGGTAGATTGGACATTTCTAGACAAGGCTAAGGGGTGGAGAAGCTACTCTAAGTGATCTGGTAAACTCGAAATCTTGGTCGGAAAACGGACAGATTACGCCGTTTTTACGAACGACAACACGTTTTGCACTGGTACTACCAAGGATAAATGATAAATGTAAACTGCACTACTACAACTATTAATAGGTGATAGTTTCCGAACTGACCAGTGTCACTGGTGACGACAAGGATCCCAAAGTTGCATCCCCGCCAAGGAAGAAGGAGCGGTCTCACCGGGTTTCCTTGATCGCTCATTCAAGAGAAATGGAGGTGGACGGGAGCTCTCTCAGTGAATCCCGTCCAAAATGAACACATTCAGCATCAACCTCACAACCAAACAAAAAATTAACACAGAAAACTGACACAACCTCCACAAAGAAAACCCTTAAAAGCCAGACGCAGTTTCAACGCAGCTTGACATTGGAAGAACGTCTAGATGGCTTGCACCAAGTCAACTTGGACGGCATGGACGGCCAGGCTCTGCTGTTGGTTGAAGTGAGAATGGCATACAACTATCAAGGCCAACAAGGGGGGAACACGACCCATGCCTCTATTATCTTGAACCATATTCTTGATACTCTGGCAGACGTCCTAAAGAACGCGGAGGAGACAATTTGTTTTCTTTCCTTGTCTGACAGCGCATACAAGAAGTCTCAGCAGTGGATCCGAACGGAAGCGGACGTTGGGAATTCACGAGCGCGTGTAAGAAGTAATGAAGTACTGTTGGGACTAACAAAGTACTTGTGGAAAATCCAGGTTTATATGGATTAAAAGTGGTCTTCAGGCGTGACAATATACCGGTAGCTGGGTCAGAACCAGCTTGTCACATTTTGGAGGACCAGACTGGCTGTTTTAGCTAAAACAGCCAGTCTGGTGTGATGATACTGAGTTTCAGTACCTAGCTGCAGTATATAGACTGCAAAAGATAGGAGGTCTCAAGATAAGAGACAACGCTGAGGTCAAGGGTTCAAATCCCTGGAGAATAGGGGCTCAAAGGAGTGAGTAAACGAACAATTGAATAAGGGCCGACAACAGACGGACAGACAGAATGTCCGATCGAATGAATCACATGCGCGATCCATTGCTCAAAGGAGTGTGACGGCCGGGCTCTGTTGGTTGAAGTGAGAATGGCATACAACTATCAAGGCCAACAAGGGGGGAATACGACCCACGCCTCTATTATCTTGAACCATATTCTTGATACGTTGGCAGACGTCCTAAAGAATGCGGAGGAGACAATACGCTTTCTTCCCTTGTCTGACAGCGCTTATAAGAAGTCTAAGCAGTGGATCCGAATAGAAGCGGACCTCCGGCGGCTGATTCCGGATTACCGTAGCCTGTCCAAGTATCTGGACATGTCGTTTGGCAACATGTCATACGCTTCGACTTCTAATAAGCCAGGTGAAAAGAAGCTTCGCACAAGGATGAGAGTGGGTTTTGAGGTCAAGGTGGCGGCAGGAACAATTCGACAGTACTTACACGGCCAATTGCGTCCGCAAGGGTATAGCGCAGGATGCTACAAATCCGTCCTACAGTTTGGGGATATCGAAAAGGTTGGGGCCTTGTGCTTCAACCCTAAGGAAATTAACATCAGGGCTATGGAGAAAGAACTAATTTGGCACTTTGATTGGAAGATAGTTATTGGCCTGCGGTATGAATGGGTGAACATCCCCTATAACGGCCGCAGTAAGTGAAACAAAAGATCGCCCAGGTGCATGATGTGGCACGTTTACGTCAGATGGAGGGGCGCTAAGCGGGCGGATGGAGAACTACGCTTATGGCTTCACCTGTCGACAACCAAGAAAGATTTTCCATGGTGCGCTGTCACCCACTACATCAGTGATTGGAAGGCTGCTCAGAATCGGACAATCAGCGTTAAGGCCGTCGGTCTGGTTAAGGATGAGAATCTCACCATGATCTTGAAGCATAAGGACTTTGTAGAACTGACTCAGGCCAAATATTGTCCAGTTGAAATCCCAGGGATGTTGAAACAGGCAACAACCAAAGCATTCGGCCCTCACACTTGTTTGTCCATGTTTCTCTCCATCGAGGCCCAACCAGTTCACGACAAGAAAGTGGCAGCTGCTGAAGTGAACTCGGACTCTGACTCCAATGGGAAGACGTCTCTCACAAGTTTACTAAAGTGACTGTCAAAGGGACGACAAAGATTAAGAAGAAACCTCCAAAGACGGCTATGACACCAACTCTGGAGCATGATGGCCCGGTTCTCACTCCCGCTCAGCAGCGCCGTGCGAAGGAAGCAAAGAGGAAGAGGAAAATGGATTTGGAGAACAATGTTCCTAGTCCTTTGTTTATCATGGTGTTACCTGGTGAGATGGAAGGGACCTACTTGTTCATCAGTAGGTTGAAATATGCAGCCTTGGCAACGAACGTATTGAATGGATTGGTTCCAACATAATTTGGGGGAATTAACGACTACTCAGGCCAATCAAGTGGTTGCAAAGTGGCTGCCCATGTCTCTGATCCATACAACATGCCGCAAGGAACTTGTATGGTGCTTGGAGGCTCTACGGGCTTGACCATTGGACCAAACTCTACAAGGCATTGACAAAGCCATCGACTTCCTGGATGGCTTTGGGTCCGACCCACTTGACACCGCCAAGCTATGCTGGAATTCAATATGGAAATGGCGGATGCGAAAGACATTGACAATGGAGCTATGGTCACAGGCACCATGGACAAGTTACTTGAGAAGGATAGCCAATTGGAAGCGGCAATCACTGAAATTGAAATTAAGGAAAACCTATTGGTTGAGCAGAGCAGAGCAGCGCTTTGGAAGCTGAACGAATCCGTTCTGAATCACTGGCCAAAGAACTAGCGGCTCTGCGCCTCCTGCAACAAAGCGCAGCCGGATTCGCCTCCCCAACCTGTCGCCAAGGTCCCTTTAACTCAGGACAGGTCAGAGTCAGAGGGGCCCATGTCAGCTGTGAAGGAGCCCACTTTACCATCTACTCCAGCGCGAGCAGTCAAGCCAAGTCCGCTCACGGCACCACTACCAAGCTCTCCTTCGCCACCAAAAGCCATCTCGGCCACCGTCAATCAACACCTCTTTGCGCCACTACTATTGCTGCCTCTCAGGTGGAATTTGTGGCTCCGGATCAAACAGCAAGGACTCTGTCAACCTCGGAAAATTGAGACTGTTTGGACCCAGGCTCTAGGGTCCAATACTCCGTCTCTGGCCAGTTCTCGGGTCTCTGACAATATCTTGGACGCTTCTCCTTCATCAGTCTTCCCCATCTTCCGCCATCCTCAGCATTCTCCTCCCTCCGACCATATAGAAAAAAGAATATCAGAAACAAAACAACACGCAAACACGCAGAACCAGCCAATCTGCCTTGCGTAGCGCTAGTACTGATTTTACGTAGAAAACTTTGAAATTATCATCAACAAACGGCAAAACACTATGGTTTGAACATGGACAAATCTCCAGCTCTGAAGGCTGCCTCGGCAAATACAAAAAAGCAGGGCGTGGCAAAGTCGAAGGTCTCCTCTGTAGGAAAAAAAGCGATGAAAAAACAACTGGAAATTGATTTGGAACAACCCAAACACAGAGATCCTGTCAGTTCCAATGATGTGGACGTCAAGCAACTTGCTAAAGACCAAGACGCTCTACAAAGCGCCAATGAAATGGTGGCACAAAGAATTGCCGAGCGTGAGGCTCGTCTTGGCGATCACTATGATAAATTGGTGCCTAAGCTTTCTGAGTGGTGGATGAAGCAATTATATTCAGGAGAGGCGGTCAATCAAGCGTTGCAAAGAACAGGTAATCCTTTATTTGCAGCCTGGGATGAATGATACCCTGGCGCATGGAATCAACCATGCCTACGATACGATACCTTGTTCAACGATTTTGCGGGCACATCAACATGCTATGAGAGATTTATTCAGATATTTCATTATCTCAATTCTGATAACGCTCAGCTGGCCAAATACCTCATATCTTTGTTCAATCTCTCCACAATCGAGGATAAAGTTGCTGAGGATGTCTGGTCACTTCGAGTTCTTGCAATACAAATTTCTTTGCAGAACCCTTTCTCATTTTTTGGCATTGAAGAATTCAAGGAACAACCGCACGACAATCAATTCTTTGATGGTGCCAAGTCGGATCCACGACTTCACCTTGAAAATCCATTGGTTGGCTTTTGGTCGATCTGCTCTGAATTGTTTGATTATCCATGGGCGACAATTACTACAATGACCCACCTTTGTCTGTCATCTGTGGTATCAAACAAAAACGTCCAGCACCTTCTCAATCCTTCTTTTGATCATCCAGTGCCAACCAACACTCCCAACAGGTAATTCAGAAGATTTAAGATCCGATGCATGGATCAGAAGAAAATCCTAATCAGCAAGACATAGACTGTGTGGACAACTGGAAGAAGCGCAATTGATCCAACAATTGTTATAGTGCCCTTGCAGACAATGATGTATCGGATGGAGATGGGGTTTCTACAGATGGGGATGCGGAGGCGGACCCAATGACAGTTGATGGAAGGGAGATCCTGGATGACGATGAAGACAATGAGGTGCAGGTGACAGGCGTTTGTCACAACCCTAGGCCCTCACTGTCCTCCAATGACGATGAAGACGATGATGATGACAATGAGGATGTTACATCTGTACAGATGAAAGATGCTGGAGAAGGTGAAGAAAGGGAGGGTCCAACAGATGTTGCAGCAAGGGAGGATCAAGTCATTCCTCAAAATCGATTTACGCCTGTGGCTTCTCAGAACCCCTTGCCAACAACCAACTCACGCCTACATCGGCCACTAACTGTTGTGGAAAAAATCTCCAGGCTGACTCAAGTAAACCTGGAGACATCCCTGGGAAATGCCACATTTTCAAAATAACCTTTGCCTTTGATTACCAGGGCTCCAAGTCAGGAGCTGTTGCAGAAGGGATTCTTTTGATAGTCTTGAGCTCTCTGGAGGAAGCGATCAATAATTCTCTGCATGAATTGAGGATCCTTCCAATTTCTGACAGTACTTATAAACAGCAGAACTTATGGATTCGATCGTAGGCCAACTTGCGCAACAAACTACCACATTATCAGGCTCTCTTAGTCTACTGCGATATGGACTATGGAAACTGTGCTTATGCTGCCACTAACAGTAAACCGGGCGAGAAGAAGTTGGGTACCAGGCTTCGGGTCGGCTTCGCCTAAGATGTTTTGACGGAGGCAGTTCAAGACTATTTGCACACAGGACTTCGACATCAAGGTTGGGGAACTTTTCATGTGGATGTAGATTGTCCGGCAGACTTGCGTCGAATTCTGACATCACGATCAAAGTCCGATCGTGCGTGTCAAATCTATGTACTTGAATAGTTTTTCTTGGAACGTAAAAACTCATATTTTGTCATATCCCAACAATGAAGACCATGTGCAATTATTCAAAACTGTTTTTGAACAACTTCAAGAAGCAAGTTTCAAGATTAACCCTTTGAAATGTGAATGGTGTGTTCAAGAAACCGATTTCTTGGGCCATTGGTTGACCCCTGAAGGTGTCAAACCTTGGAAGAAAACGGTCGATGCAATCCTCAAAATGAATGCTCCTCGCAACATTACTGAACTTTGAGCTTTCTTGGGTGCTGTGACCTACTATCGTCACATGTGTTCTCAGCTTTTGCAACCGTTGACAGCTCTCACTGGAGCACACACATTTCAATGGACGGACAAATGTGAAAAAGCTTTCAAAGGACGGCTGGTGGAGGCCTTACTGTCTGGCCACCTCTGCCTGATAAGCGACGGATCATACAAGCGAGACCTGGGAACGGCGGCTGCACAACTACTCCCAAGAAAAGGGGAGAAGGACCGCATCATTGTTCCATGCCAGACTCCCGGATTGCCCCAGGACCAAAGCGCCTATCGGAGTGAGCTGATCGGCCTGCTCGCAGGCAACATGGTTGTTGACTGGTTGCTCCACCAGTGGGCGCCGACGCTCCAATCTAAACCCCGCGTAAGGATAGCGCGTGATGGGTTTTCCGCCCTTCTCAATACCTTTAGTGATAATCGAGTCACTCCCCAACAGGCGCAGTTTGACCTGGTCTCTTCCCTCCGCGAGGCCCTTGCGCGCTCCAAAGCATCGTGGGAGCCTAGTCATGTGTATGGTCACCTTGACCACGCTACGCCCTTTTCGTCCCTGTCTTGGTGGTCCAAAAGGAATGTTGAAGTGGATAATTGGGCAGTGGCATACCGCCATCAGTTGATTGCACCCAATGCTCGCTTCTTTACTGAGTTGGCCGCTCTCTATATCGGAGACGTTAAGCAGTCTCGATTGGACCCAGACTACATCCAAGAGCTGGTGGCGCTTCCCGCCCTCCGCAAGAGGTGGCGCGAGAAACTCACGGTCACCCCAGAGGCGGAGTCGGAAACCGACTGGACCAGTCTGGCCCGGGCCATGCGATCTCTCCCTGCGGGCGTCCAACGCTGGACCACAAAGCACGTGGTGGGTATGTGCGGTGTCGGCAAGTTTAAGGTACGATGGGGATATGACACATCTGCCGCATGCCCATGCTGTGGCGAGTTCGAAGATCACCTACACGTACCTCGATGTATGGCTCCATCCACCAGCGCTGAATGGGATCGCCAGACAGTGGCCCTGGATTTATGGCTGGACACTCAAGTGACAGATCCGGCCATCAAACATGCCCTCCTCTCCCTCCTTAAAGGGGTTCGCGATCCATCCCTACCGTCCATCCGAATGGTACCAGGTCAACTGCGCAGCGCCTTCCGATCCCAGCAATGCATTGGCTACCAAGGGCTATTGGAAGGAAGATTGTCCCGCCAATGGGCCCCGTTGCAGGAGGAATATCTACAGTCGCGCGGGAGCCAACGCTCTCCGACCTTATGGGCCTTATGCCTCTTGCATCAGTTGATTTTGCTGGGCTTCCAGTTGTGGGAACATCGGAACTTGGTACAACACTCGGAGGACAATGTACAGTTACAAGAGCGCAGCCAACAGGTCAACAACGGAATACACAACCAGTTTGATATGGGTCCTACTGACCTACCTAAGGTTGTCCAACGCATGCTTTCGGTCAGGCGCCGGACAGTCTTGAACAAACCACTGGTTGACCGTGAGGAGTGGCTGAAGCTGGTGAGGATGGAACGCACGGCCTACCGCCGCGCTTTGGCGCCTCAACGCCGTATTCTTCATCGCTTCTTCCACCCTGCGGACCATTCCCCTTGAACAACGTTTCATGGAAGCAACGCCCCGAGATCACCCCGCCACGCTGCAGGTAGAGTCCGAACCATCTGGTTCTGACTAGAGCAACTTCTGATTATCAGACGCCTCACATGGTTCAAACTTGTTGTTGACTCGCCACTCCACAGTACTTGACCTTTACAGCCGACCATTCCACCGGCAATCGTATGCGCTACCTAGCATTTAATCGATTAATGTTTCAGTTATTATTATTATTATTGAAAAAGCTTACAAAACAATGAAATCTTTGATGGCTAGTGATATTTTAATGCAGTATCCCAATCACAACAAGCCCTTTGAACCCTACACTGATGCTTTGGCCTATCAAATGGGAACCGTGATCATGCAAGACAAAAAGCCAGTGGCGTACTGGAGTCGCAAACTCAATGATGCTCAAAAGAATTATTCTGTCATGGAAAAAGAAATGTTGGGTATTGTGCATTGCTTGAAAGAGTTTCGCTCAATGCTTTATGGTACGCAATTGACTATTTTTACAGATCACAAAAATTTCACTTTCCGCATGATGAATACACAACGCGTTTTATGCTGGCAAATGTACATGGGAGAATTTTCGCCTACGTTTAACTATTTGCCTGGTAAAGATAATGTTTTGGCCAACTGTTCCTTGCATTTACCGCAAATGGAGAAACTGTCTGAGGGGAAGAGTTCGTTTTCTAAAGGTAAATTGATCGCATTTGACAAACTCAATGTCAAAATGGATCCTGAGGATGAAATGTATTCTTTCGAAGAAGAAGTTCTTCTTCCTCCTCCAACTGAAGCGGAATTCAATCGTACCTTCAAATGTCCTTTCTCCTGTTGCCAAGATGGTGACCATGGACATGGTGCAATTGAAAATGATGAGATGCTTGAATCATTTTTGAATCATCCTCCATTGGAAGTTATGCCAAATCCAATCACCATGGCAAACATTCAACAACATCAGCTCCAGGATGTTGCCCTCATTCAAAAATCGCAAGATGCAGCAACTTGGGCTCAATATCCCATCATGCAAATTGACAATCGGAATGTGATCTGCTACTGTGCAAATTTGAATAAACCTAACAAATGGAGAATTCACTTGCCTGAAACTTTTGTTGCTCCAGTGATTGTATGGTATCAGTTGGTACTTGGACATCGAGGTACTACCTCTTTGTACAATAAAATCGTCCGACAGTTCTATGCTCCTGCTTTGAAAAGAAAAGTTGAATCCCTCAGATGTGAAGTTTGCCAAGTGAATAAAAATGTGAACATTCAATTCAGACATCTGCCTGAAAGACATGCAGATTTAGTCCTGTGGTTTTCTGTGGCTGTGGATTTAATTGGACCTTGGAAAATCAAGGTCATTGGTATAGACATTGAATTCAATGCGCTCACTTGTATTTATCCTGTGACAAATCTCACTGAACTTTCACACATTGAGAACAAAACTTCAGCCCACATCACAAATGTCTTCGAGAATCTATGGCTTTCTCGATATCCAAAACCCTACAAGTGCACTCACGATCAAAGCGGCAAATCCATTGGTCACAACTTTCAGTTGAAACTACAGCAGTGGGGAATTCACGATGCATTGGCGACAAGCAAGAATCCAACTGCCAATGCTATCTGTGAACGTATGCATCAAACTGTTGGCAACATCCTACGAACAAGATTCAACAACAATGACATGGCCCCAAGCATTCAGACAGCTAATCAAGCCGTCGATGATGCTCTCGCAGCATGCAATCATGCCATGAGATGTGGTGTTTCTCAATCTTTGAAAAAAAAACACTCCATGTGAAGTCGTATTTGCTCGTGACATGTTGCTCAACATTCCTGTGATTTGCCGATCTTTTGAGTATAAACGAATTGAGTGTGACTACAAATTGAGTGTGACTACAAATTGAGTGTGACTACAACATTCGTGGAGAAGTTTTGATCAAGAATTTCAATCTAAGTAAATTGGATCCAAAGATGGAAGGTCCGTATCAAATTACTGGTGTGTTTACTAACGGAACAAGTCTTTGAGAGACTGAATATACGGCGTCTTGTGTCGTTTTGTTGAGTCTAGCAAGCGATGAGTTTGAATCGCCTGTTGCGTCAAGAACCACCTCTCGTATGAACTGTGGATGTAAGGGCGCCTTTGTGACTACACTTTGATACAGAATGATATGATAATACTATGATCATACGACAAGCTTTTGTTGACGTTCTGCAATCTTGCGCCATGGCGAACCAGGTTCTCCCTCTACTTAAGAAGTGTTTCAACAAATATGGGCTCCAGCGCTTCACTGTCCGCACTCTACACGCTGATCCCGAGTTTGAGCCACTACGTGACGAATTTGCTAAGCCTGAAAACGGTTCTGTGGATGTACATATATGTGCTCCGGGAGCACATGTTCCCGAAGCCAAGCGGAACATTTGCACTGTTAAGGAGCGTGATCACGCCACAGTTGCAAGTCTTCCCTTCCAATATTATCCACGTGCGCTAAAAATAGCCCTAGTTAAAAAATCTGCCAGGTACATGAACATTCTCCCTAACGCTGATGGCGTGTCGGAGGTTTTAGCCCATTGGCTCTACTTGAGGGCCAGCACATGAACTATGAAGCACTGTAAGCTTCGCGTCAGGACATACTGCGAAGTCCACGACGAGCCTGATCCAACAAACAAAGAGACCGTCTGTACGACCTCCGGGATTGCTCTCACCCCCACCCCGAATTTTGATGCTCGATGCCATGATTTCGAGTGACATACCAATTGGCATCTTATTACCTGACCAGTGATGTTTCATTTATTCCAATCGTTTTGTTGATATCTTTGAATCGTTTCGAGATCGTTTGAATCGTTTCGTTGATTCCTTTGAATCCTTTCGAGATCATTCATTTGAATCGTTTTGATTCCTTTGAATCGTTTCAAAGTCCTTTGAATCGTTTCGTTTCGCATTTGAATGAATCAATCAATCGTTTCGATTCCTTTGAATCGTTTCGAAATCCTTTGAATCGTTTCGCGTGTTGTGATGAATCGTTTCGATCCATTTGAATCGTTTCGAAATATGTCGCAGTGAACAAGCTTGATTCGCCAAGATTCAAAATTATCGTCCAGACGACGATTATGTTCCCTACTCGAACACACTCCGACTATAGTACAAGCAAGACTAGTGTCTTTTTATTTTATGGTGGGACCCTGCTGTCGGGGAGATGCAACGCGCGCATGTGCGGAGGGTCCAGGTGGAAGATGTCATGAATCGAATGGCATCGCGCTTGGGTCCCGGAGCTGAAACAGTTACCTCCTGTCATTGCCTACATTATTCCACGTCCCACTCCTCCACCACATACACTATCGTACTGTAGGTCCCAGAAAAATGTCAAAGCCACCTCCGTTCCATCGTTCATGTGTCCCTGCCGAGCAGAATCTTTTGCAATAAAAAAACGTGTCCATTGTCGAAACATCGCATGGGATATTCTCGAGGAATCAAAGAAGAACTAGGTCCCTTAAGTGCGTTTCTGGATGCGAAATGTCAAAGTTGTCTTCACATTTGTTCTGCATCTGGGATGCGAAGCGAAAAAAACTCCTTCAAGATTCTTTTCGGGAAAACTTTCACAATGTTTCTTTCCTCACATTTGGAACGAATGAAAATAATATCATACCCACAACCTTTTCCAGGCTCATTAAAAATTCAAATAAGAAACCATCATGTCCAGCACTATCACCATCGAATACAGCACTACAGGTATTGACAAGAGCGTCGATCCTTTTGATTCCGATGACTTCTCAATTCTCTCGTTTGGTGATGCTGACATCCAAGAGGACCTTGATGAATTTGGTTGCCCTCCAAGTCTGAACCGCGAGCAATCCACAACCCCAACCGATACCCCACCACCACCCGATATTGAAACCATCCGATCCATTCCCATATCTGACGATGAAAGCACGTCAGGTACCAGCCTTTTCTCTGACACTAGCTTGCAGTTTTTGAGCAACCCGCAGTCTCCAAAGTCATCCGAATTACATGATAACACTTCCTTAGAAGAAATGGTTGTCAAGCTCAACAGATCCATGATTCGATCAGCACGCTCGCGAGCCATGATTTCCAAGGCAGTCTTCCCGGACCTGAGAAAGCAAGGTCTGAAAAGAAACAAGAAACCAATAATGCTTGCCAGCAAATCAAGTCTGGTACACAAGGTGCAACGGTCAACTGCAACTGCTAAGCATACCTATTCCAACAGCAGTGGATTTGCCAAGAGCTCACTTTTGGATTTCCTTCGAGCTACCAAAAAATGGTAAATATAATACATGCTAGCTAGCCAATATAAATACAACAACTATAGCCATAACGCGCAGTATGAAACTAGTAGAGTGTAGACAATTAGTACTACAGTGCTGCGGTGCCGCATAAAGAAGTTTGATGTAGCAAACATGCGTGTGTCAAAATGATGGATGATGATCGATAGCGCTACAGGTCCACACCAAACGGATCATGCTGAGCTCCGGCATATTGCAATGGTAATGCCTCATTTGAAAACTTCACTGTCAACGCATCGTCCGGGGCGCATCAATGTCAAAATAAAACGGAAGAGTGAAGGTAATGATTGACAAAAAAATACGATCGCACTATTTGATGAAATACCCCAATCGAATGAAGGAGTGATTGAAGACTCATCGAACACAATTCCCTTACGCTCCTCATTTTGAAAGCTCAAGAATGGAACGCAAGCGGTTGTCGCGACTAATATCATACTGTAGGTATTATATATTTTAAAAATAAATATTTATAATACAATAAAAGCGTATTAAATACGGTATTTTAATAATACGAAGAAAGAATCACAAAATCATCAATCACCATCGAATACAGCACTACAGGTATTGACATGAGAGTCGATCCTTTTGATTCCGATGAGGAGCTTGATGAACTTGGTTGCCCTCCAAGTCTGAACCGGGAGCAATCCACAACCCCAACCGATACCCCACCACCGCCACCTGAGATTGAAACTACTACTATCCGATCCGTTCCCGCCATATCTGACGATGAATGCACGTCAGGTACTAGCCTTTTTCTCTGACTCTGCTTTGGAATCCTTGTGCGAGCAAGAGTCTCCAAAGTCATGCAAATCACGTGACAGCACTTCCTTAAAAGGAATAGTGGTTTCCATGGCCGTCTTGGCTTGCTTGTTCCCGGACTTGAGAACAAGGCAGCAAAGTCTGGAAAGAACAAGAAAACATCCAGCTCGCCCTTTGCCTGAAAAAAAGCAAGGCTTGTAGTACGCAAGACCAAACGGTCAACATAGGATCTATTGTTTCAATAGCAATGGAATTGCCAAGAGCTCACTTTTTGATGTCCTTCGAGCTGCGAAAAATGGTAACTGTACTGGCTACCGAATCATACTACTGTAATACATAGTACAGTTAACTCAATATGACACTACACTGTAGAATGTTTTTGGAAGAGCTACCGGAATGCGTGATTAATTAACTTTCTTTGATCACATAGTAGTACTAGTCCGTGTATCCTTTGGCAGTTATCTCGACGACAATGCTGCCATTAGACATTGCCACTGAATGGCAGATAACTAGCTTTGAGGAACCAGCAATGGCCATAAATGTCAATAGTACCTGCAGCTGAAGACTACAGCCTCCTGGTGGATAATGCAATACATTCCGCCGCCAGATTTCTTGTTGGTTTGAGGCTCCATTGCAAACCTTCCTCCTTGCTCCCATTCTTGCTGTGCATGTTTCTGTCGAAAATGTCTTCAGTACCTGAAAAATAAGGCTGTGAACATCAGTCAGTGAATGGAGCGGTACCAGGGTAGCAGAAGGACCAGGAGCGGCACCACTGCCACCACACATAATGTTTGTCGTTTTCGGACGCCGCGACTTCTCCATTGGACTGCGGTACAGTGAGAAACGTGATTGATCCAAAGATTCATTCTTTGGCTGCGCTTCGAGTAAGTTTGTATGGATGCAGCAGGTATTAGTACTGTAGCTTGACAGCAACTATCCTTTGAGTGGAGACAATACATCAACGTTTGTGCAAACCGCTGCCATTCCTCAATCCATGTGAGTAGTGAGGAAATATCTCGCGCCAGTCCCTCCCATTCCCATTGTACTGATTTCATTGGGATCATGTTCACCTTGTACCCGCATCGCTCTTGTTGTGAAACGAGAGGCGTAAAATAAGAGGCAATCCACCAGCACTCTACCACGATCAATACCAAGAAGCGTCGCTGCGCGCGAGCAACAAGGTTCGATGAGCGAGTATACTCAAACTCAAGCAGTATGATTGTCCTCGCCACATCGATGTTTAGGTCAAAGAATAATTGGATAATATCACATCCATCATTGTTTGTGCTTCAAGCAGCCTCGACCATGGGTTGGCACATTGATGTTACCTTTACCTCTCTGTCATCCGCGATGTCCCAAATATGGGCTGCGCGCGCCAAATATGACCGGCTCGTTTTCAAGACTTTAAGTAGGATCGCTAATGTCCTTTTTGTTGTATGATGCTGCAGTCAGAGATACATACCCGTGATACTGGTGGTACTCCAACCGCCTACCAGATGTCCGGTCCGTCCAATTGCGAAATCGATTCTATATAAATGTTAGGAAAACCAAGACACTTACTTAAGGCCCAAGACTAAATCGAGTATGACTGGCCAAAACCTACCCCACAAAAACCCGGTCAAAAAACACATTCCAAGACCAGACGCAATGCGATAGGCAAAAACAACGAAACACAAAACAAAAATTCGAAAATACAGCCACCATGCCTAGAAGTAGCGACATCGTAGTCCCCACGAAAGGCAATATGAAGTCCAATGACAGAGCCCCCCCAAGAAGACATACCTACGCTGCAAGCGACAAGAATGTTCTAGACGATCTATTCGCCTTCTCCATGCATGCAACAACAGAGTTTTACGACGACGTTCTGGCATCTCCAACACCGAACGACATGTATACTGATGATTTTTACGATGATGATACGGCTCATTACAGTGCCATAGGCTCTTTGCCTTTGCTGTCATTGGATGAGGATCAGGAGGTAGATGCTAATAGTGCAACAACAAGCAGCAGCAGCAGCAGACGAAAATCTCTATCACGATCCAAGAGCAAGAAATTGAAAAAGAGAAAGAGCAGCAAACGACTCAGTTCAGACTCTATTTCGAGTAAGAAGAGCACAAGCTCCGAAGGCAAGAGCAAAACCAAAAGCAGTAAATCCAAGAAGAGCAGCAAGACTCCCGAAACGAAGAGTGTCGCTGCAATGCTCAAGAAGTTGGAAGAGTACGAGGAAACTCTCAAGGAGGAACGCCGTCTACTCCAAAAGGAGAGAGATGAAATTGCGTCTGAGCGCGAGACTTTGAAATTAAAGTCATGTGAGCTTGAATCGAGGCTCGATGAACTTGAAGACAATGGCGGCATGATGTCCCCTCGTTCACGACATGACATCAACGATGATGCAATTCGTATCGAGAACAGAATTCTGCAACGAAGACTTCAGAGGCAAGATGAAATCATTCTACAACTATCGAACTTGGAAGGGGGAAGCCAAGCGGTGGTCGAACAAGAGAAGAATTCAGATGAGATTTTGCGATTGGAGAAGGAATTGTCTCAGGCGAAAGATCTTATTTCCAAGAACGAGAAAATCATCAAGGGTCAAAAGCTGACCATTGATAGGATGAACAAGGAATCGTTCTCGAAAAGTTACAGTATGATCTTCCCAACCAAAAAGAAGGACGATGATACAGTGGCCACTTTGCCATTCGAGGATTCCTTCAGCTCGCTGGACGATTCCTCTAGCTCATTACGATTTAGCAGTGACAAGAAGGAAACACGCAAGTCATCAAGCTCCAAGAATGATCGAATCAAGAACTTGATCAAGCTTCAGAGGCACAACTCGTCTCGAGAAAGATTTCGCAATCGAATCATGACTCCAGAAGAAGCGGCACTATCACATCTTCTGGACCCCTTGTAAATACTAACTGGAAATCGCCATTTTGCATCAAGTCACTCTTTCTCTAGAGTTTCTGTAAAAACACTATAAAAATCTAGAAAAATACATAAAAAGAACCAGGACTGTTTTCATTATTTTGCCACACCATGGTGAGTCGTTATCATCGTTGCTCGTCAGTTTTTATGCACGAAGAGACCTGCATACCCTCTTCCACGTCATTTTCGTGGTGTCATTCGAGCCGTTAAAATTGATTGATTGTGATTGATTGTGATTGATTGATTCGATCGGAATCAATCTCATCTTTGGCCACGATCCAACATAAAAAATAATGGGTTCGGTACGAATATAGGACGAGCTATATAGTGCCAAAAATTATCCCCACAATATTCCATCAAACCACATCACACAATAAAATAATAGAAGAGGCGCTAGAGTTACCGTACAACAACTAAAAAGAAAACAAAATAACACAGCCATGCCTAGCAATAGCAATAGCGATAGCAAAGAGATGCAACCCGATGGCAGAGTCTTGAAAAGACATATTTACCACGCAAGAAGTTCCGAGACGAAGACCAACAACAACAACAACAACAACAACAGCAATAACCAACAAAAGACTAACAACAAGAACGACCTGTTTGCATTCTCCATGCATGGATCAGACCCAACACTCGAGTTTTCCGAAGACAGTCTACCATCTCCTTCACAAAACGACATGTATATTGATCACGATACGAGTGGTGGTGATCGTCTCGTCGTACTAGCAGAATCCTCCTTGTCTA